CCCTCTGAAGAAAGGTTCTTAAGGTTTACGGGTTTCGGGTTTTTGCGGTTCAGGGGTCCCTGTATATGATCCTTTTTAAGCCCAAGTAAGTGAAGAATGTTGGGGCCTACCCAGGTTGGGTTGGAATTCGGGGTTACACGTCATAAGGTTTAGGGTTTCAGGGCGGTTCTGTTCTCCAAACCGCAAGTTACCAACCCTCGGAAAGCTGCACAGAGTCACAGAACCCGTCACTGGCATGGTGCCGTGATAGTTTCCTGGAAAGTCATGGCTTTAAAGATTCTCAAACCCTGAGCTCGATCTTAGAAGCTGCGCGAAAAGTTCTTGAGCGGGCGGACTGCTTGGAATCGTCAGGCCCCCCGATCGCATGCAATTGGGGTTCGGGTCTCACTCGATGCCTATACACCCACTATCAGAACCCAACAAACCTCGAACCCCAAACCCCGCCAAACCCTTATGCTCTATGCCCGATGATGTGTCTCAAGCAGTTCACCGCAACCGCTTTTTGTCTTTCCACACCCTAAACCCTAAACCCTAAACCCTAAACCCTAAACCCACAGTGCGAGCTGCAAGATCTTTCATCCGCGGCAGCGCGGCACAGACCGCCAGGGATGTGTCGGGCCCTCAGTGGCCGCACAGGGCTTGGGGGGGGGGGGGGGGGGGGTGGTGGTTTAGGGTTTAGGGTTTAGGGTTTAGGGTTTAGGGGTTAGGGGTTAGGGGTTTAGGGTTTAGCGTTTCGGGTTTAGGGAGGTAGGCGTGCCTCTTTTCCTGAAATGGGGTTCGTCTTCGAGTCCAATGTATAGACTTCGACTGGACCTTGGGCGATGGTGGAAGGCTTCCCACGGGTCTGTAGGACTGTTGGGCTTGGGGAGCAGGGTGTCGAAAAGCACTACCAACATCTTCGCCTTTTGGCAGGCTTCCTGTCTGTGGGCCGATGTAGGTTTGCGACGTCTCATGGGCCGAAGGGTTCTCGAGGCATTCCTGAAGGATTTTCGAGCCCACAACCAGCCCTTCGTTCTTTACGAAGGATCCTGGAAACTCTTCAGGGCCTGCCTTGGGGAAACTCACACACACACACATCAGACAGCCACTCCCAGCAGAAAACCCCAAACGCCGGCCTTCCGAAACGATCCCGACTACAATACCCATCCTACGCTTTCAACTGAGCTCCAGCGTAGAGTGAGCCCAACTACTGACTAAGACTCTCTGAACAGCTCCTCTCTTGCCTCTGACTACTGGACTTATGGTGTCAAACATCAAAGGACCTTGAAGACGGTGAAGACTCAACCCTCCCCCCCAAAAAGTAGTATATTCATTGTTATAAGAGCAAAATAGGGATTGATTATTATATTGTTTTGGTGTGCTTAAGCAAATAGTCGTCATTGACCTGGCTGTGAATTCAGCCATGCGTCGTTGCACGAGATGAGGGTTGCCTCTGACTTTGAGTGCCCGCTCAACTTCGCCGCACACGGAGCGCTCGCCTGGCAGTGAACCTCAACCACCCTATAAACCCTAAACCCTATAAACCCTAAACCCTATAAACCCTAAACCCTATAAACCCTAAAAACCCTATAAACCCTATAAACCCTAAAAACCCTAAAAACCCTATAAACCCTAAACCCGGTACATCCGGACCACGGGACCCTTCGGGTCAAGTCGCGCTCCACCACAAACCCTAAACACTCCCGCATGAAAACCAAATAATCCCTGTAAGCCCTATAAACCCTGCAAACCCTACAAACCCCCAAACACCTTACAAACCCTCTAAACCCCACAAACCCCAAAAAACCCATAAGCCCTATAAACCCTACAAACCCCAAAAACCCTACAAACCCTAAACGGTTAAACCCTAAGACGCACTCTGCATTCTCAACCTCCTGGTGCCAGGGAGATGCTGCAAAACCGATGTTTTGCAAGGGCCCCTTAGGGTTTAGGGTTTAGGGTTTAGGGTTTAGGGTTTAGGGTTTAGGGTTTAGGGTTTAGGGTTTAGGGTTTAGGGTTTAGGGTTTAGGGTGAACTTTGGACATCCGCATTGGGCTTCGTGTAACCCGGCTGAGGTGTTTAAGGGTGTTAGGGCTACACGGCTTGTAGAGTTTAGGGTTTAGGGTTTAGGGTCGCTTTCGGGTTTTGGGTTTAGGGCCAGGGTTTGAGGTTTGGGGCTTGGGGTTTGGGGTTTGGGGTCTGGGGTTTAGGGTTTAGGGTTTGGGGTTCGGGGTTCGAGGTTTAGCCCACACACCCACAACCCTTACAAGCCCTTGGTGCCTTCGACATGATTCCTTCGAAGGTCCAAAACCAAGTCCTGAAGGACGCCAGGGTTCAGGAGATGGCCCAGGATGTGTAAGAAGAGGCCTCAGGGCTCATAGTTCAGGGTTTAGGGTTTAGGGTTTAGGGTTTAGGGTGTATGGCTCAGGGTTTAGGGCTTGGGGTTCAGGGTTCGGGGTTTGGGGTGTATTGGGGGTTGGGTCAGTGAGGAAACTTATCGGGCAATGGGGGGGGGGGGACCTTGATCCAGCAATGCTTTGTATGAGAGATGACAGCGCTCATGTGTCTTGGGCGCCGAATGCTGTGTTTAGGAGCTATACCGGGCATCAAGTTGGGCACATTCTTCGGTTGAGGGAAGGTGCAGAAGCATGTGGGTGCCAACTTGGTGGCCTGAGAAATTGTCTGTCAAGAAACTTGAAGTCCGCGTATGGGTTCAAGTCAAAAGCCCTGCATGACTCCACAAGAACATCGATTGAAAGCCCTGCAGGCAAAATAAGTGCGAGAGAACCTACAAGGTCGCCCAAATAGGTCAACAACCTGACGAAGGATCATTTTGCGTTTCACTGGCAAAGTAAATGCGTGGTGGGCGTCTTGTGAGCTGCATCGTCTTGTGCGCTCATGCAGGAAAGCTGTTCAGACAAAAAAAGTCTTTGCTCAACGCAGTTTCACGGCACACCCCATATCTAGAATGCCCAGCCCGATCTCCCGAAGACGCCAAGTCTTAGGGTGCAGGCTCTCAGCCCCGTGTCAACGTTCGGGTACGGAGACCAGAAACGTGCAGACGTCAGTAGGGTTTAGGGTTTAGGGTTTAGGGTTTAGGGTTTAGGGTTTAGGGTTTAGGGTTTAGGGTTTAGGGCTTAGGGTTTATTGTTTAGGGGTTGGGGTTTAGGGCTGATTATAGTGTGCTTAAGGGAGGGGGAGTTCAAGGGCGGGTATGTAACGCAAGCGTTCCCTAGTACTCCCCAAGGGTGCCCGAAGCTTCCTTAAGGTTCCCTAGGGTTTAGGGTTTAGGGTTTAGGGTTTCGGGTTTAGGGTTTAGGGTTTAGGGTTTAGGGTTTAGGGTTTAGGGTAGCTACATACCCCTCCTGAGCAAACCCCTCCTTAAGGACTCTATAGAAGCAGACCAGAACTCTCCGCTCCCTCCTGCAGCTTCGTGAGCTGAAAAAGAACGGCAGCAATCGTTCCCGTCAGGTCCGGGCCTTTGGTGGCCGGGAGGAATAGGAGAGGAAGCAGTTCTTGGTGAGTGTATATAAGGTTCCTTTTTAAAATTGGTGAGTGTATATACCGGGTGTCCTTTTGGGGGTACAAGAAATATGTACCCTACTTCATATCCCAAGGCCCCTCTAAATACCTTGTTGCCGCTTCTGGGACCCCATAAAAATGCACGTTGAGAACCAAACTCTACAGCTCCCCAAGTTCCTCGAAACATGATTGCAACTGCAGGGACACCTCTAGCCCTTAACATCTCCAAGGCTTGAGCGCCCCCACCCTCTAAACCCCATAAACCCTATAAACCCCTAAAACCCCTAAAAACCCCTAAAATCCCTAAACCCTCAATCCACGAGGCCCCCAACAAACCCCCTTACCCTAAACCCTAAACCCTAAACCCTAAACTTATAAACCCTAAACCCTAAACCCTAAACCCTAAACCCTAAACCCTAAACCCTAAACCCTAAACCCTAAACCCTAAACCCTAAACTACCCTAAACCCTAAACCCTAACCCCCCCCCCCCCCCCCCCTTTGTAGGAGCCCAGGCCGCAACCGTTTTCTTGCAGGTAGAGCCCCACTTCCTGCCACCCCAGCTCTCTTCTGGTTGGGTCCAAGCTCATGAGGTTTAGGGTTTAGGGTTTAGGGTTTAGGGTTTAGGGTTTAGGGTTTAGGGTTTAGGGTCAGCCCCCAAATTCGGAAAAACACCCAACTCAGTTTCGAAGGCGTCTCCTGGTTTTATGGGAGGGATGAACCCTAAACCCCAAATCCCAAATCCCAAGCCCTAAACCCTAAACCCTAAACCCTAAACCCTACACCCTACACCCTAAACCCTAAACCCTAAACCCGCTAAGCCCTGAAGGCCCTCAAGTCGGGTGTTGTGCGCTGGGGCTGCCTCAGGGGTTGCCAACCGAGTCTCGGGCTTGTGTAGCTTGAGACAAAGCTTGGGGGTGTAAGGTGTTTAGGGTTTAGGTTTAGGTTTAGGGTTTAGGGTTTTTGAGGGTGAGAAAGGGTTTAAGGGCTTTACAGAGGCTTGGGACACTACGAGTTTAGGGTGCAGCCGGCTGGAGTTCAGGCTTGGTGTGTGGAGCCGGTCCGGGCGTGCACCCGAATGTAGAGCAAAGCAGACCCTCTCCAACAGAAGTCCCGAAACTCGCAACCTTGTACGTTCTGCACCTGCCCAGACCCCTCGTCCCCGAGCCACATGTACCAAACACAGGGCCGGAGACGTGGCTGCAGGGAGGCCGTTGGAAAAAAAACGCGCAACACCCTGGAATCACGAGCCCCGAAGTACGTTTACAAACTTCTGGAAGAAAGTCTCTGCAGGGAGTAGGTCCGTTAGCAGACTTCTACGGGCACAGGGAAAAAAAGGGCCCTAAACCCTAAATTCTAAACCCTAAACCCTAAACCCTAAACCCTAAACCCTAAACCCTAAACCCTAAACCCTAAACCCTAAACCCTTCCGAAAGGTACCCATTAATTGACCCCCCCCCCCATATTCGACTCCTGCAGCTCCGGGAGCTGGGTCAACGCCTCAGCGAAGAAGCTGGCGCCGGAAGAGCCTCGATGCGCGACCGCGATTTTTGTGAGGCTGGGAGCTGTGGGGTTGAGGGTCTAGTAGGGTTTAAGGTTTAGTAGGGTTTAGTAGGGTTTAGGGTTTAGGGTTAGTAGGGTTTAGGGTTTCGGGTTTAGGGTTTAGGAGGGTTTAGGGTTTAGTAGGGTTTAGGGTTTAGTAGGGTTTAGTAGGGTTTAGTAGGGTTTAGTAGGGTTTAGTAGGGTTTAGTAGGGTTTAGTAGGGTTTGGTAGGGTTTAGTAGGGTTTAGTAGGGTTTAGTAGGGTTTAGTAGGGTTTAGTAGGGTTTAGTAGGGTTTAGGGTTTAGTAGGGTTCAGAAGGGTTTAGTAGGGTTTAGTAGGGTTTCGGGTTTAGGGTTTAGTAGGGTTTAGGGTTTAGGGGTAGCCCATCCCCTTACTCATCCTTACTCAACTTCCCGGTATTCTGCCAGCACGGTCCGAATGGGACCCTGCTGAGGCAAAGCCCTGTGGGTCTCAACAGAACAGCAGGTTCCTGCTGTCAAGGCCACATCTGATGACTGACGGGTGCTAGTCTGATCAAAGATATGCATCCCTGGCCGAGACTTGGCCCAATCAATCTCAAATGCATGCACCGGAAAGTCTGTTTTACTTGATACTGCACCCTTTCTTCTAAGCTTTGCTCACGAAGCAGGGCGCAAGGGATTTGGGTTCAGGCTCTAGGCAATGTTCAAAACCAACTTCTAACCCTAAACAGTAAACCCTAAACCCTAAACCCTCATCAAAACTAGCCCAGAAGATGGCAGTACCTCAGAAGTCACGGTTCTCAGATTTCAGTTTTTCTGCTTTCTGTTGGGGCCCCCAACCAAAACAGGGGTTCAAACCCTCCACCCTGAACCTCCACCCAAAGCAGCGTGAACATCAAGTCTCCTGGGCTCTCTCGGCTCCAGACGAAGCTGGTTCTGCTGCAGCTTCAGTGCAAGCCTCACCGTAGAGCCTAAACCCTAAACCCTAAACCCTAAACTCTAAACCCTAAACCCTAAACCCTAAACCCTAAACGCTATGCGCGAGCTGAACTTGCCAAAGCAGATCAAATCTGGCAAGGCACTTGAGTACGCACAGGACAGTGAACCCTACACCCTAAAACCCTAAAACCCTAAAACCCTAAAACCCTAAAACCCTAAAACCCTAAACCCTAAACCCTAAACCCTAAACCCTAAACCCTATACCCCTAAAAAGCCTTGCGATAGCAGCCTGAAGCCGACGCTGCTCCTGGAGCTTCCCGGCCTCCGCAGGCGTGGCAGCTTCCGGAGGGCCGCCGACACGAGGGCAGCACCAGCCTGACCTGAATTGCTCTGAGCTCAGCCGTGAGTGCGGCTTAGGGTTTAGGGTTTAGGGTTTAGGGTTTCGGGTTTAGGGTTTAGGGTCTGGGGTTTAGGGTTTGAAATTTCGGGTTTAGGGTGTAAACTCTCTGTCTTAAGAGCGCAACCTTCAAGAGAAACTTGTGCCTCGACACGTCGCCCAAGGCCAACCTTATCCTCCAGAACTGAGGTGGACCTAGGCCCTGGACCAGGGTTTAGGGTTTAGGGTTTGGGGTTTAGGGTATAGGGTTTCGGGTAACCCAGAACCTTGACCTGAGATGGCGATGAGCTCGCGGATCCCTGGACCTGGAAGCCAACGCCACGAACAGCTACTTTTGGCCTTTCACAGAACCTTGAAGCTCTTTAGGCCCTAAACCCTAAACCCTAAACCCTAAACCCTAAACCCTAAACCCTAAACCCTAAACCCTAAACCCTAAACCCTAAACCCTAAACCCTAAACCTGCCCAAGTTGAGGCGGCAGCCCATCTGATTCGTCTCCACGTTGAGATCCAGGTCCTCGTCTGCGCTCTGGCGGTCTGAATCCTCAACCCTGAGAGCCCAATACCCCTGACTTGAGGAATACCTCAACCCCCAAAATATGTAAAATAATAGCCCTTTTAAGGGTCTTGGGCTGTTTTTTTTTACATACTTTGGGGGTCCAGGTATACCTTAGATGATATTTAGGGATCCTGAATATGAAAAGGTATACTCCGTAAGTAAGGGGATGTACCTCAGATGATATTTATAGGGATCCTGAATGTGATAACGTACGATTCATTAATCGAGGGGCATTGGGCTCTTTGGGGAACTCCAAACATTCGTGAAAGAGCTTTAATTACTATGAAGCTTGGAACTACTGTGTGGTTCTTATACTCTGCTATCCAAAAACTACTCCTATTCCTACTCCCTCCCTACTACGCAAGAGTACTTGTAAACCTCGGCTACAGGGCTTCGGGCTCTCTTCAGGGTCCGTAAGACTGAGGTTTTTCAGGATCGGGGATTTCATGGGAGGCTTTGAGGGCTTTAGCGCTTCGAAGGTTTGCCCCCATCTTTCCCTAATCGCAGAGCGAGGGCTTAGGGCTTTACAGGGGTTCAGGGTTTATCGTGTCTCTCAGGACTCTTGAGATTGGCTTTCATTGCTCTCGGCTTACGTAACGACAGGATCATTCCTATTGCCGATCCTGATGTCCAACTTTCTCGTCGCCGTCTTCCTTCACAACAAATGTTAGGTGCTCTGGCGTGATCTACATTGCACCGTTTTGTGTTGGTCTTCTTCGACTGCTTAACATATGTCAAGCATCACGCCGTTCTTGGTAAGGTCTGTTCCTCATCACAAAAATTATCCCGGCGTGGCCTGGATTAACACCGAGCGCACCATAAACCCACTACACCCCCTAAATCCTAAACCCTAAACCCACTAAACTCACTAAACCCAAAACCTCATAAACCCACTGAACCCATTTAGTGCCACATTTGCCTACTAAACTCACCCAAACCCTAGACCCCAAACCCATAGACCCACGACTAAACTCACCAAACCCTAAACCCCGTAAACCCACTGAACCCGCCCAACCCTAAACCCTAAATCCCATAACCCCACTAAACTCACCAAACCCACTTCAAGCCACAAAAACCTAAACCCTAGACCCTAAAACCCTCCAAATCCCTCCAAGCCCCACTTAAACCCACTTCGAGCCAAAAAGCCTAAAACCTAAACCCCTCTAAATCCCTCACTTGAAACTTAAAACCCTAAACCCTAAACCCTGTAAACCCCCCACGTAAAAAACCCACTTAAAGCCACTTGAGAGCCGTGGATCTTTGAGGTTCGGCAGCTGCAGCGCCGTGGCGAGCAAGCCGGCCCCCTCTTTGCCTGAAAGTTTGTGTAGGGTTTAGGGTTTAGGGCTTAGGGCTTAGGGCTTAGGGCTTAGGGCTTAGGGCTTAGGGCTTAGGGTTTAGGGTTTAGGGCTTAGGGCTTAGGGTTTAGGGCTTTTAGCGTTTTGGGGCTTTTTGGGGTTTAGTGGGTTTAGGGTTTAGGGTTGGGTTTAGAGGGTTGAAAGGGTTTACAGGGCTCTAGGGTTTCAAGGGTTTATGGAGTTTGTGTCTTTTTGCTTGCTTCAGGGTTGCTTGGGGTTGAGTTATGGTGCGAGTTGAGGGCGTGGCTTGAAAATCGCAGGGTTGCTAGCAAAAGGCATAGTTTTCAACACGTGGGTCGTTCTCTAAATTTAAATGACTACGTGTTGAGATTGTGAGGTGTAGGTAGGGCGCAGAGAGGTGTAACTTTCAAGGAAGTGATAGCTTCGACAGCAAGGCCCAGCCCGCCCCCCTAGGTTCCCCCCGGCCCTTGAATAGCCTTTTTTTAGGCTGAGCTATCCCTAAACTGACTTAATTCTGGGGGAACCTAGGGGGGTATAGATGGGGGTAGTACCGGAATCCACGAAATCCCAACGAGCAAGAGGAGCAGGGCAAAACGGCACAGGAGCAAGCCAAACTCCGATCCCCAGCGCGGAGGACAATACGGTCATGACCAACCATTGAATAAAAATATCCATATACAGCACCACTGAAGAATAAATAAACAGAAATACTATTTTGAAGAAACGGCGCTCCAACAATTGCACCAACCAAAGCCCCCAAAGCTACCCTCCGAACCCTTCATGCCAGAAATCTCTAACCCTCAGCAACCCCCCAAGCCTACACGCGTGTCGGGATTTCTAAGCCGCAGACCCAGCCGGTTGCTCAGCAACACCAGCTTGAGCTCCTCGAGTTGCCAAGATGGGCGAGACTTGGGCGAGGCTCCAAGCTAACATGCCGTAAAAGCCATGAGTCCTCATCCGAAGCACCCATCCCCCCTTTGCCCCCCCCCCCCCCCCCCCAAAAAAAAAAAGAGTGAAAACACACAGAAACAACAGGCAGGCAGGAAGATCGCTGAAAAGCAGAACACGCTCCTTCAACTCGGGGAAGTTCTGCAGGAAAGGAACCAGCTGCTCCACGCCCGCACTTTCTGAGGGGGGGCTCGGCAAATGCAGGAGTTCAAGATGCAAGGTTCAAGGTTTTTATTATATTCTTATGATCTAAATAACTTAAAATACCTATTTCAGTTACTAATAATTGCTTGCTCATTGATTCATAGAATCCTTTTGAGTTGGAGGGGCTGTGGGATTTGCGTGCGTAGAGCTTTAGGTCTTGGGCACGTGCGTCTAGAGTTTGCGAGGGTTGGGGATTGTTGCAGGGACGCAGTCGGCAGTTTTAGGCAGTGCATGCGTGTACGTGGTGCTGGCCGAGAACATGCGATTTAGCCAGGCAAACTGGACGGAAGATTGGGTGTCTGAAGTAACCTTAACTGCTTGCTTTGGAGTTAGGTCCACTGCTTCGAGGTTTAGGGTTTCGGGCTGCAAGATGAGTCCCATACACTCAAGGTGCTTCAAAAAATGTCATCGAATTCAAGGTGCTCCAAAAAGTCATTGAAATGCATTTTCAACTCCAATGTCCATCGGTTTATGCAAAACTACTGCAAAAGTCTCAGAGCCCTGAACCCTAAACCCTGCAATGCCAATCTGGGAGCCCGGCCCAGCTGGTTAAAGCCAAGGTCCAGGGTCAGGTGCCTTGATAGTTTGAGGGCTGTTTGAGGGCTGAGGGTTTAGGGTTTAGGGTTAGGGTTTAGGGTTTAGGGTTTAGGGTTTAGGGTTTAGGGTTTAGGGTTTAGGGTTTAGGGTTTAGGGTTTAGGGCGATACAAAGGGTTAGGGGCTTAACTTGGGCTTCTTCGTACAATAAGAGGACACTGTGCGGCCTGACCTGCATTTTGTGGAGTCTTTGATGAAAAGATCGACTTGTTGTTCTAGACGCCCGCCTCCCAAGTGACATTACATATATATGTTTATATACACGTACATATATATATATATACACACGCACAGATTCTCTAAGCTTAACCGAATCCGCTCGCCCAAATTCTGAGGGTTGGGCTTGCTTTCACATTTAGGAGACTGTTGGGGATCGTCACTTTTCGGCCGTAGGGTTTGCCGAGCCTACAAGCATTCGCATGCGTTGTTTGTCTATCTGGTCATCTAGTGATGCCATGCTAGAGCAGCAACAGAACATGTTCACTCCCGCACAATCCCCCATTGCAACAAAAGCTTGTTCGGGATCCTTAACAGTAGGTGGAAAAGATGTTCACACATTCTCTCTCACACTCACTCTTTCTCTCTCTCTCTCACACACACACACGCACACGCGCACGCACGCGCGCGCGCGCGCGCGCGCCCGCCCGCCAGCCGCCCGCCCGCGCCCGCCCGCCCGCCCGCCCGCCCGCCCGCACGCCCGCGCACGCACGCACGCCCGCACGCTCACGCCACGCACGCACGCACGCCACGCGCACGCACACGCACGCACGCACGCACACCACACACACACACACAACACACCACACACACACACACACACACACACACCACACACACACACACACACACACACACACACACACACACACACACACACACACACACACACACACACACACACACACACACACACACACACACACACACACACAGACACACAGAGGACACAGACACAGACACAGAGACACACAGACACAGACACAGACACACAGACACAGACACACAGACACAGACACACAGACACAGACACACAGACACAGACACACAGACACAGACACACAGACACAGACACAGACACAGACGCGCGCGCGCGCGCGCGCACCTTTTGCGCAACCAAGGCTGATTTTCTCCCATCACCCAGCATGCGGACATTGTATTTCCACTTGCCAAAGCATGCTGAGGTTGATATCTTCTTTGCTGCGCCCCCAGATCATCTCCCTCCAAGATTTAGCTCTGTAAATCCTTTGAGGCGCAGAACCGAGAGGAGCCCTAAGCCTAAACCCTAAACCCTAAGCCCTAAACCCTAAACCCTAAACCCTAAGCCCTATAAGCCCTAAACCCCAAACCCCAAACCCCAAACCCCAAACCCTAAACCCTAAACCCTAAACCCTAAACCCTAAACCCTAAACCCTAAACCCTAAACCCTAAACCCTAAACCCTAAACCCTAAACCCGAACCCGGAGCCCAGTGAAGCCCAGTGAAGCCCAGCGGCTCAAGCTTTGCCGGCGGCCGTGCAGACGCCAGGGCCTTTGCACCTTCTGGGCCTGGAGTGGAGAAGCCCCCGGTGCAGCTGAGGTGGGGCTTAGGGGCAGTTGTGGCCCGAAGCCCTAAACCGTAAACCCGAAGCCCTAAACCCTAAACCCTAAACCCTAAACCCTAAACCCTAAACCCTAAACCCTAAACCCTAAACCCTAAACCCTACACCCTAAACCCTGAACCTTAATAGGGTTTAGGGTTGCAGCTTTGTGGAGCTTGGGGCTCTCCATCTCCATGAAAGCAAGAGAACCCTAAACCCTAAACCCTAAACCCTAAACCCAAAACCCAAAACCCTAAACCCTAAACCCTAAACCCTAAACCCAAAACCCTACTCCATTTAGAATGATACCGTCGAGTGGTCAGTGGTTCTCTCAATATGAAAAGGAATTTGTCAGTCCTCAGAGAGACCAATATTCCTTAACCCAAGGCACCTGAATGAAGACCCTAAACCCTAAACCCTAAGCCCTAAGCCCTAAACCCTAAACCGAAACCCTAAACCCTAAACCCTAACCCTAAACCCTAAACCCTAAACCCTATTCGTATATACTTGGAGGCTCATGGGCACTTCGAAGTAGGGTTCCCTCAACAAGCCATAGCTACCGTACTCATAACCCTACTAAGAAACCTCTAAGGAAGGGCTCCTTGTACTTGATGACGGGGGTGTGGGGGACTCCCCGGGTCTCAAGTCAAAGGTCTAGGGTTAAGGCTTCAGCGTTTAGGGTTTAGGGTTAAGGCTTCAGGGTTTAGGGTTTAGGGCGGCTTCAGGGTTTGGGGTTTTGGGTTAAGGCTTCAGGGTTTCGGGTTCCGGGGTCAGGGTGGGCTTAAGCACCATTGCTGCTACTTCGCCGTCGATGTCTCTTTTGGCATGGGGAGTGGAAGCCTTCGAAGGAGAAATGCAGATACAGTTATGGCCATGAAAAAAACATATTGCGTCTGTGTATACTTCTAAAACCCCGTAACCCCTCAACCCTCAACCGGAACGCCACCCTAACCCCTAGCCCCTAACCCCTAACCCCTAACCCCTAACCCCTAAACCCCAAACCCCAAACCCTAAACCCCAAACCCTAGCCCTAAACCCGAAACCCTTACTGGGGCTCCCGGCCCAGTCGGTTGCCCGGCAGCTCCAGCTTGAGCGTCCGCAGCTGGGTGAGGCTCCCAAGGGCTGCGGCCAGGCGCTGGACCCCTCGCTCACCTCGGCGCCAGATGACAGAAGTCCTTTGCCAATTACATACAAGTACTATATTTGTATATTTTTCATATATATATATATATGTCATACATATATAGAGAGGGTGTATATAAACTATAAACATATTATGTATACAGTCTACCGAATGTAAGAAGCAGATTCCACGTACCCTGGCACCCAATGCCTGCCAGCATCCAGCACACGTCGCCAAGGTCCCGGCCTAACGCGTTGCTCCCGAGGTTCAGGGCCAGCGCCTGACAGTTTAGGGCTTGGGGTTTAGGGTTTAGGTTTTCGGGTTTAGGGTTTAAGGTTTACCCACTACACGATATTGTACTATGATGGGTACATGTAATATTGGGGGCTGGCAGGGTGGCAAGCAGTTTTGCACTGGTTATTGACCCACATGATGAGTATTTGGGGTACTGCAAGGATTCTTCTATCATAGACTTCAAGGCTGAATTCATAACCATGGCACCTATCGATTTAGCAGCAGCTATGGACCCTCATCCGAAAACAGACCTTCCAGAAGCACTGAACCCACCATTCTCCCAAAGAACCTTCAACCCTGTACACCGACAACCATCCCTAAACCCTACACCCTAAACCCTAAACCCAAACCCCAAACCCTACACCCTAAACCCTAAACCTAAACCCCAAACCCTGCCTGAAGCTGTGTGTGCTGTCCGTAGGCCAGCGCGATGTACTCTGCTCCAAACGGTCCTCGGGTTCGGCGGTTTGAGGGTTCCATTATTGGGGCCCAGGGTCGGGGGGTGTTTAGGGTTTAGGGTTTGGGGTTTGGGGTTTAGGGTTCAGGGTTTAGTGTTTAGAACTTAGGGTTTAGGGTTCAAGGGGGTACGTAACCCAAGACTCCCTAAAACTCTCCCCATCAACCCCGCTCCCCGGCCCAACAATTAAGGTTACTAGAACACTTCAGGACACAAAAACTAGACCCAAGAGCAACCTAGGAACAAAAAGGGTACCCTTTTTGGTTTCAAGGGAACCCAAACCCTAAAACAAAGGGGAATAGGGCCTACCCTGGGTCCTAGGGAATGAGGACATGTTGGAGTAAACCCTAAACCCTAAACCCTAAACCCTAAACCCTAAACCCTAAACCCTAAACCCTAAACCCTAAACCCTAAACCCTAAACCCTAAACCCTAAACCCTAAACCCTAAACCCTAAACCCTAAACCCTACCTAAGATTTCGGACTCACCGGGCCGCTCAGGGCTGTTGAGCCCGTCGGGTTCGAAGTTTCAAACTCTTGCACAGGAGCTTGTGTAACCACACCCCTTCTTCGAAGCGCCAAACCTTAAACTCCAGCCTAAACCCTAAACCCTAAACCCTAAACCCTAAACCCTAAACCCTAAACCCTAAACCCTAAACCCTAAACCCTAAACCCTAAACCCTAAACCCTAAACCCTACGAGGTGTCTCAGCCCAGGACCCAGCTGGTTCCTCGCCAGATTCAGCGCCACACCCTGCCGCGTCGGCAGGTTTTAGGGTTTAGTGGGGGTTTAGGGTTTTGGGGTCTAAGGTGAAGGCGCCGGTTACTACATGAGTTTCGATCCAGATGCTAACAAACGCAAATAGGCTGATGGATTCTATGCCCGCTGAAAACCCTGGCATCGAACGGGATCTCAGTTCAGCACCATTCAAAAGCAACCGATGGTGGTAAGTCTTCACAAATCTTTCAAAGAATCCCAGCCGCGTGCCAGTCGCAAACTTGAGAGCCGTCAACGCCCGTAACTCGTACGTGCTCACTCCTTTGCGTGGTCTTCTTGTTCGACTACAGAGCGGTGCTACTTCGCGCCATTTTTCTGGAGTGGTCGCCGTCCAGATGACATTGCTTCACAGAGCACCATTGGCATCTGGAGAGCGTGGATGTAGGGCTTAAGGGTGAAGGGTTTACCTGGGACTCCATTTACCTACAGTATAGTAATAACTACCCTAAAGTATGTACAACCTATAACATTGCAGGAACAGAGTGTCCCAGGTAGTGTCTAGGCTTATAAGGCGTTAGACTCGAGATGTGCCTCGGTATTGGTAAGCGCCCTTCTCAAGGGGTTGTGAACCTTAGCTAAGGGACGGTGTGCGCTCAAACCCTCAACCCCTAAACCCCTTAAAGTTCTAAATCCTAAGCCCTAAGACCTACAAACCCTAAACACTGCCTAAACACTAGGAATCCTTAACCCTACACCCTAAAACCCCTAAAGGCTACAAATCCGAAACAAGAAAACTCCCCCCCCCCCCCCCCCCCCCGCCCCAAAAGCCTGGAGCTGCTGAAGGTCCCGCACTCCGGTGGCTAAGGAGGCGGCCTCCCCGGGACCTTTGCATAAGGCTCAGGAAAATTCGGGGCTTCGGGCTTAGGGTTAGCGCTTAGGGTTAGGGCTGAGGGTTTGTAGGGTAGAGGGTTTATAGGGCTTCGGGTTTATAGGGTTTAGGGCTCAGTAAAGTTTAGGGCTTAGGGTTTAAAGGTTTCGTGGGGCTGCCAAGGTGCCTGTAAGGAGGGATGAAGGGGGCTGTGGGTGTTCTTGCAAGCGACAAAGGGCGATGCTGCAGTCTTGGGGGCTTCTCTTCGAGGTACTTGGGGTTTAGGGTTTAGGGTTTAGGGTTTAGGCTTTAGGCTTTAGGCTTTAGCCTTTTACACGGCTGTATGACCTGTGAAGCCAAAGCCTTCGAGACTGTAAAAGCCTTATCTTGAGCCTTGTCCTTGCGGGTTCAGGATCTGCAGGGCGCGATATATATAGGGGTCGGAATAAATACGAATATTCTTCCCTTCTGGACCCTTTATATGTGTACCACAATTGCCCCTAAAAACCCTGCAACCCTAAACCCTAAACCCTGGTAACCCTAAACCCTAAACCCTAAACCCTAAACCCTAAACCCTATTCTTTAAGGCCTCAGCCCCCCCCCCCCCCCCCACAAAAACAAAACAAACATGTTTCTGGGAATCCGCGCCCAGCGCGCTCTCGCAGAGCTCCACATCCAAGTTGATCCTGCAGCTGCCCAGGGTTATAGGGTTATAGGGTTTAGGGTTTAGGGTTTAGGGTTTAGGGTTTAGGGTTTAGGGTTTAGGGTTTAATATACTTGGTAGCCCAGCAACCATATGATGACTAGAGTACCCCCTTTTGGGCTTGATTGCTTTATATAGGGAACCTGGAACCCCAAACAAAGGGGGCAACAGGATTACGCTACCAAGTACAAGGACTCATCGTAAGAAAACAAACCCTAAACCCTAAACCCTAAACCCTGAACCCTAAACCCTACACCCTACACCCTAAACCCGAGTCGTCTTCTGTGCCGCTCGGCAGACACACAAGGGCTCAAGATCCTTCTGAGTACTCCGACTTGGAGGTTCAGGGTACGTATAACCCCATATCGAACTGCACCTATAAGCCCCTAAACCCTAAACCCTAAACCCTAAACCCTAAACCCCTAAGTCCTCCGAGTAGGTTATGAGTGGGTTTCTAATTGGGGTGTGCTCGTACCTGTATCAATACATCCGATCCGACGCACAGGGAGGCACATGAACCTTGCTAGGCATAGCCCAGGTCATATGATAACAGGGCATGTGCAGAAACTTGCTTGCAAGCACACCCACACCCACACCAGTTCGTCGTAAATCCAAAGCTCTGACCTTGAAGCCAGAATCCCAAGCCCTCAACAGGTCGCAGCACACCATGTCAAAGCTGAAGCCCTAAACAGCCCAGCGTCAGATGGTTCGCTTCGCGGAGGGTATTGGCGATGAGGCCGATGCCGTCGCACCCTCGGTGATGCTTGGGTTTACTGGATTACTGGTGAGCAATCTTCATCCTAAAGTATCTCTCTCTCTCTCTGTCTCTCTCTGTCCCCTGTGCTTGCTGGGCTTCTCTGAGGGTTGAACTTCATTTCGTGCTCATGCTGCTTTGGGGGGGGGGGGGGGGGAAGGTCAGCTTGGTGCATCAGTTCAGATGGACTGAGTTCAGGATTGCTTGTCGAGAGCAGAGGATCACTCCTTGGTGGATGTGCGCATGGAGGTCATGTTCCCCGAAACACCACAAACCTTATAAACCCTATAAACCCCAGAAACCCAATTACCCCATAAACCCTATAAACCCTATAAACCCTATAAAGCCATAAACTCTATAAACCCAGCTCTTACCGCAAAGCCTGTTGTGGTGAGATGTTTCGGGACACGCGCCCGGCATCTATAGCGTGTACCATGACAGCCTTCCCTGCTTCAAAAGGGCCGCCGCAGCCGCTGCTCTCCATCGTCGGCTCTCAGTTTAGGGCTATTTGGGTGTAGAGTTGCCACCGCCTCGGACTGAAGCACCATGGCCGGTGCGCTGCCACCCTTCCCGCCTCTGGCCTACCAGCTCTGCAACTACCCTGCCCGGAGCAGCCTTGTACCTTCTTATACCTAGAGGAAGTGGTAGGGGACATGGTATAAAATACTCTCAAACATAAGCCCAAGCCCGAATCCCTGGCGAAGTTCGGGGATGGGCAGTGTCTGAGTACGGCGCCCAGTTTGTTGCAGGACAGGTTCAGCGTCAGAGCCTCGTCCATCAGCAGGGCTCCTCGCCGGGAGATGCTGAACTTCTGGAGTTTTGGGGCTTAGGGTCCCGAACTCCCCAGAGCTTGCAGGAACCCTCAACCCTAAAAACCCTCAACCCTAAACCCTAAACACCCTACACCCTAAACCCCAAATTAACTTGCAGAACCGCCCAGGTGGCCGACGAACAGGAGAGCTTCGGAAAGGCCCCTCGTAGCTCCTGGAAGGACACCCAGGACGTCCGCCGCGCCACTGGCAAAGCCCTTGAGGTCGAGTTCGAAGGCCTTCCTTGGCAAAATCCAGTTACAGGGTTTAGGGTTTAGGGTTTGGGGTTTGGGGTTTAGGGTTTAGGGTTTAGGGTTTAGGGTTTAGGGTTTAGGGTTTAGGGTTTAGGGTTTAGGGTTTAGGGCTAGGTTCAGCGTGCTGATAACCCCACGTCCTCTAAGTAGGTTACAAGTAGACTTACAATTGGGTTTATAAGTACCCATGAATCTCCAAGTAGGGTTCTCAAGGGAGGGGGGTTCAAGGGGTGTGTACTCCCTAAGGCTCCCTAAGCTTCCCTAGGTACCTACCCCCCTTGAACTCCCGTCCCTTCAGAACCCTGCAAAGGGTTCAGGGGTTGGGGCTGAAGCTTGGCCAACAACCTGCTCCAAATGGGCCCGCGCCACCAACAAAAACAACCGACAAAAACAAGCAAACCCTGATCCAGAACTCCCGAAACACCAAACCCCTAACCCCTAAACCCTAAACCCTAAACCCTAAACCCTAATGTAGTCAACCCCAAAAGCTTGGAAAACTTTTTTAGGACAAAGAGTGCTGGGATTCCCTCTGCTTTTACTCTTCGGGATTGAGGCTGTTGAGTTTCCAACCTTTTTGGCTTCTAGGGTTTAGGGTTTAGGGTTTAGGTTTTAGGGTTTCTGCTGTAATCCCCAAACATGGACCCCCGATGATCGGCCCAGCTTCTGTCCCTCGCTGAGGAGCATGACCAGGAAGCGGAGAGCACCTGGGCTTATACCAGGCAGAGGTAGTAGGGACCCCTGGGCCCACTTTTTGGAGCCCTAGGTTTAGGGTTTAGGGTTTAGGGTTTAGGGTTCAGGGCTCAGGGCTCAGGGCTTAGGGTTCAGGGCTGAGGGTTCATGCTTGAACCCCTATACCCTACCACCCTTGGCTCTTTGCCGGGCGACAGAGCATGTTGTGGCGAAAGACAAGAGAGAGAGAGAGAGAGAGAGAGAGCCACATCCAGGGCCTGAATACGCTAGCCAAAACAAGGTGAACCGTTTTTTGTATAGTAGGATTCTACATAGCCAAAAAGGGTTCAGGTTGCCTACCCCGGCGCTAAACAACTCAAACCCAAAGCCCTTGCCGAAGGGTTGTTCAGGACTCTAACTATGCTCCAAAACGTTCCAAAGCTCGGTGCACGCTCGTGGCTTTTGCTTCCCTCGGAGCCATGAAAGAACTAGTTCTGAATATTCCCGTAGGTTTTAAACAAGCCACAAACATAATCTCCAAGGAGACCCAAACGCCTTAAACGCCTCAGCAACGATCCTTCCCAACGAGCAGCTTAGTGATGTAAGGCCCCCAAAGGCCCCCACACCCTAAATGCTAAGCCCAATAAACCCTACACCGTGCCTACCCCCAGACCCCTGAGAGGATCCAAAAAAGTAGATCCCTTTAAGGGCTCCTACAAGAAAGAGCCAAGAGTCTAGGGTACCCTTTGGGGGGGGTTCTACTTTTTGGGAACCCTAAACCCTGAACCCTAACCCTAAACCCTGAACCCTAAACCCGAAACCCTAAACCCTAACCCTTTTTGAAGGCCTCGGAGCATGGCGTTGGTCTGGGCCAGCTGAAATGCTTCGACGTAGGTCATCTTCTTGCTCCGCACCTCGGGCTGCACCATGAAAGGCCCAAGCAAGTCGGCAGTCGGCTGACCTCCAAAAAAAAGGAGGGTCCCTAAAGCCAAGAGCCCTAAAGCCCTAAAGCCAAGAGCCCTAAGCCCTAAGCCCTAAGCCCTAAGCCCTAAGCCCTAAGCCCTAAGCCCTAAGCCCTACTAAGCCCTAAGCCCTAAGCCCTAAGCCCTAAGCCGCAGAACCGGCACATGGACTGAGAACTCGAAACCCGAAGGCTAAACCCAAAAAGAACCACCAGAGCCAGGTCTCTACTTGATGGTCCCTAAACCGGAAACCCTGAATGCTCTCATGTCTCTAAGCGCACCGCCTGGGCCGCCCAGTCCTGAACGCAGAAGTGGGCTGGTGGTATGGGGCTTGTAGGGTTTATAGGAATGAGCGGCTTTGTAGGAGGTTCAATGGTTTGTTTAAGGCGGCTAATTGGTTGTAACTGAAATTCACCTGATGTGCGTGGGGGCTATAACCTTCAAGTATCTGTCTGGCGGGGAGGCTCCCCACTCTCGCCCATTCAGTGGTTGAGCGCCACTACTGACTGTAAGCCGACACCGAAAACTCTGAGCCCTCCACCCACAGCGCTCTCTTGCCCCCTTAATCAAGGAATGGACCTCTATTCTCAAATAACATGTAGAACCTAAGTGCAACTTTAGGGAAATTTTTCTTCATATGGGCACTTAAGTGAGATGGCAAGGGCGACGCCTCAGCGGCCAGGAGCTCGTGAAAACGCAGGTGGTAGAGCTGTATCTTGGCGCACTTGCTTTAAGGTCTGCTTTCGGGCTTGCTCTAGGAGGGCGTAGGCTTTGGGATTTGGGGCTCAGGGTAAAAGGGTGTGTTCGGGCTTGGTTGGACGTTGTTGCGGATTTCGGCATGCGATTTGAGCACTCATCGCAGTATGATGACTAGTATTCTCATCATCATCATCATCATCATCATCATCCCATGTCCCCCCAACCCCCTGCAGCCTGAGCCTAAGTCCTCAACCGAGCCTCAACCTGTCCACGTTCCCAGGTTGCCCACACTAACCTGATGCAATAGAAATGGGTGCTGCCTTTTATCGGAGCTTACAATATCTTTAAAAGTGAAACAGGGAAGGAACCCTGTAAAGCCCTGTAAACTACTGTAAACCAATAAGCCCTATAAACCCGAACATGCCCTAAACCCTAAACCCTAAACCCGAAACCCTAAACCCTAAACCCTAAACCCTAAACCCTAAACCCTAAACCCTAAACCCTAAACCCGCAAAGCATCCTGTAGGGTGTCAACAGTGGCCTCGTCCCGCGCCGGCTCGAAGAGGAGCACATTTCCCAGGTGTGCCTCTTCGAAGAGCACCTGTCATGACCGCCTTTGGGACGTTTAGGGGAGGGTTTAGGGTTTAGGGTTTGGGGTTTAGGGTTTAGGGTTTAGGGTTTAGGGTTAGGGGTTTAGGGGTTCAGGGGTTCAGGGGTTCAGGGGTTTAGGGGTTTAGGGGTTTAGGGGTTTGGGGGGGGGGGTTTTGGGGTTTTGGGGTTTTGGGGTTCAGGGTGCTGGGAGTTTGGTGTTCGTAAGGCTTTGCTGGGTTTCGGGTTAGGTAGGGTTACCGCCGCATCCGGGTCTTCACTGCCGGCGGGACTGGCAAACGAGAGCTATAGGGTCAAGGTCCGCTTGAGCGAGTGCTGTACTCTCTACCATCAGGGTCTTCTGCCCAAACGCAAAGCCAGGCGGGCTTCCGGAGGGGCTTGAGAGGGTTCAGCCTTCCATATTTGACAGCAGCAAGTTGCACCTGGCCTCCTCTCGCGGTGATGCCTGTCAGCACAGAAGCAGTTTCGTGGGTCGTTTTGACTTACAAAGGGGGACCTCCAGGGGGGACCTCCAAACGGACAAATTACAAAAGCTGGAGACCAAGAGGGAATTGCTTGGAATCCTCCCACGTGGCTTGCAACACGCTCGGGAAAACAGACAGCCGGAAGCGTGCGGGTAGTTCTCTAAATTAGGGTCCCCTCTTTTATTCCGGCACCCTTTGGAGAGGACCCCAAACCCGAAGCCCTAAACGCTAAACCCCAAAAGAGACCCTGATTTAGAGAACCACCCAGGTGAATCCCGAAACAGGCTCGAAGGGGTCTTGCAGGTGCTCAAAGAATATGTGACCGCTGCGCACCATGGTCAGCTCTTCACTTTCCGAAGCCCAAACCCCTCAACCCTAAGCCTGCTCAGTCCCACCTTGGCGTTTCTTGTCTTGCTTCCTAAAAAACTAGGCCCTTAGGGGTCTAGAAGTGGGCCACGTAAGCGGCTTCGACCTTGCAAAGAGACTGCAATCTTCGACTCCATTTCCGAACTCCTGAGATGCCAACAAGCCTCATCTTCCCTATAAAGAACCCTGAACCCTAAACCCTAAACCCTATAAACCCTACCCCATTCTGAAGCCGACAGCCCTCTCTGCTCCCAGACCCTCTAGGTTTTGGACTGTCGGGCCTTGTCAACCCTGAACCCAAAACTTGCTGGTTCTGAGCGGGAATGGGGATATGAGGCACCCTCTATGCCCCTGTATTACCCTAAACCCTAAACACTAACTTCCCTAAACCCTAAACCCTAAACCCTAAACCCTAAACCCTAAACCCTAAACCCTAAACCCTAAACCCTAAACCTAAACCCATTCCACGCGGCCTGGAGCTGCAGCCGGGAGATCAGCCTCGTCGAGGCCTCTCCAGTGCCCGAGGGAAGCCGGCAGGGATTGGGGGTTTGGGGTTTGGGGTTTAGGGTTGAGGGTTTAGGGCTACCCCCACAAGGGGTTGGGGGTTTAGGGTTTAGGGTTTAGGGTTTAGGGTTTAGGGCTACCCCCAACAAGGGGTTTGGGGTTTGGGGTTTAGGGTTTAGGGCTACCCCCAACAAGTGGTTTGGGGTTTAGGGCTTAGGGCTACCCCCAACAAGGGCTTGGGGTTTGGGGGTTTAGGGTTTAGGGCTACCCCCAACAAGGGTTTGGGGTTTGGGGTTTGGGGTTTGGGGTTTGGGGTTTGGGGTTTGGGGTTTGGGGTTTGGGGTTTGGGGTTTGGGGTTTGGGGTTTGGGTTTTTTTTGGTGTCCCGGCAACAGATGGCACTTTTTTAGAAGCTCCAAACAGGGCACATCTAAATTTGGCGTCCTCCCAATTTGTGGTCGTTGGTTCAGTACACGGAGCTCAATACCCTCAATTCCTTAACGAAGGAATATGGCTTAAACAATAAAACCTATTAAGAGCCGACTATAAGGGACATTGGAAGCCATCGCCCTTGCCACCCCAAACCGCCCAACCATCGTCTGAGCTCACATAGGGTTTAGGGTTTAGGCTTTACGGTTTAGGGATAATCTTCATATCCCTCAACCCTGAACCCCAAGCCCTCAACCCTGACGCCCATTATGCACCCCCTTGGCCTTAAACCCTGTAAACCCTACAAACCTCATAAACCATACAAACCCCACAAACTCTACAAACCCTAAAAACCATAAACCCTATAAACTCTATAAACCCCAAAGACCCTAAGAACCCCACGAACCCTGCAAACGCAACGAGCCCAACAAACCCTACAAACCCTACAAGGCCTATGAACCCTGCAAACCTTGAAAACCCTAGAAACCCCTAACCCCTGAACCCATAACCCTCTACACCCTAAACCCTCTATACCCTAAACCCTAAACCCTAAACCCTAAACCCTAAACCCCTGAGCCCTGAAGCCCCTTAGCCACGAAGCTGCACCTTGAGGTTCTGGAAGCAAACTTTGGCCAGGGGCCCTCTGAGCGTCCCAGAAGCCGCGCCGGTGCGGCCCTCGGCCTCCGAAGGGGGGTTTAGGGGTTTAGGGTTTAGGGTTTAGGGTTTAGGGCTAGGGTTTAGGGCTAGGGTTTAGGGTTAGGGGCTCAAGGCTTAGGCTTGAGGTGGTAGGGCTGAGGCTTGAGGTGTTCATTGGGACATAAGCTTGGGGCTCTAGACCCAGGGTTTAAGGGTTTAGGGGTTTAGGGGTTTAGGGGTTTAGGGGTTTAGGGGCTTAGGGGTTTAGGGTTTAGGGTTAGGGGTTTAGGGGTTTAGGGGTTTAGGGGTTTAGGGGTTTAGGGGTTTAGGGGTTTAGGGGTTTAGGGTTTAGGGTTTAGGGTTTAGAGTTTAGGGTTTAGGGACACCCGGTACAAGATCACAAAAGCACGATTCCTTGTTTTGGGAACATCAAATGAGACTCCAATTTGCCTTAAGTGTTTTGAGTAGTTTCAAGCTGTTTCTGTCTGATTCTGACAGCAACAAAAACGAGCAACATGAAAGTTGAAGTGCTATGACGAACGTTGGTAGTGGCAATCACTCTAAACCTGCGAGACATAATTATGCCTGTACTCTATAACCCTAGACCCGAAACCCTACACGGTGCTGGGGGGGGTGAGTTCCTCCTGCTCGCATCAGGAGGTGTGGTGAAGGGGGTATTCAAGGATCTTTCATCACTCTAGGGCCTCTAGGGTCATAACTCTACGGCCTCCAAGCGATAAGCATGAAGGCCTGTTGCAGGAGCTGCTGCAGGGCGTAGTGGAGAATGCTCTTCTCGGAAGCGACATGCTCCTGTGGTGAGGGGGCAAGAATCAAGCACCACCTTGACCGGAGTTGCAAGAAATTCCCTTAGGTTTCAAACAAAACCAAAAAGCAAATACTTCCTGCGCGTTCCCAGCCTATGATTGCAGCCGAACGAACATTGTGCCCTGTGCAACTCCAAACCTCAAGCCCTGAATCTACAGCAGCTGCTTTGAGGATGCGCGTTGGAGTTTTTCTGGGCCCCAAACCCCAAGCCCGAAATGAGGCGTCGCGGGTCACAACTTTGGGTTTTTGGGTCGTTTTGGTCTCGTCACACCTGTCCTTGTCGGTGTTGTCCTTGCAGAATTTGCCTCACCACGCCAAAACTTTGAATTAAAGCCTGCACCCTAAACCCTTAACTTCTTAAACCTTCTGAACTTTACACCCTGAACTTCCTGAACCTCCTGAACTTTACAAACTCCCTACACCTAACCCCCCCCCCCCCAAAAAAAAAAAAAAAGAACGAAGCAAAACGCGGCGCCGCACAAGCTGGGTGTAGGGCCGAGGATGCTGGCCATCAAGGGTGTGGAGCGTACCTGGCAGGTCCGCTGCACGTAGTTGTTGAGTGCATAAGCCCCCCCAAAAAAGTGTACACTTCGTAGCCCAAAAAGGTGTCTACTGTGCTCACTCAGCTACTAAGTGTAGGGTTTGGGGGCTTAGGCGTTTGCGGCAGGGCTTGAGGCTTACGAAGCAGGATTCGGGATGTAGGGTTTGTGGTTTGGGTGGCTTCGGTGTAGGAGTTCAGGTGGAGGGAGGTACTTACTTCTCCAGTAACCAAGGGGGAAAAACGGTTAAACTTCATTATTCCTACAGAATGAGGAAACCCAAAAAGTTTGAAAGTTCAAACTCTTGGCGAAAAAACCCAGCAACAAACTTGCGAGGCTGCTGTGTAGCTTCGATTTTCGAGGCTTTGGAGGATTGAGGATTCTCTTCGTACCTGTTGTATCCCTAAACCCTAAACCATAAACCCTAAACCCTAAACCCTCAACCCTAAACCCTAAACCCTAAACCCTAAACCCTAAACCCTAAACCCTAAACCCTATCCCTAACAAAGGACGTTCATGTTACCCTAAGGTTCCAGGGACCCTCCTACAGAGGACTGGTACCTTCTACAAAGCGTTCCGGGGTCTGATATAGGGTAGGGCCTAGGAAACCAGAAAGCCCTGAATCCTAAACCCTCCCAAAAACGCTGAGCCATCTTTACCATACTACCACATGCCGTGCGAATCCTGGGTCAAGCCCACATTGCCATATGGGGGTTTACCAAAGAAGGGACTCCTACTATAGTCCCCCAAATAGTAGGGTTCAGAATAAGGCCCCCAGATAAGGTACCCCCCCACTGTGACAAAGCTCAGCCACCCCCCCCAAGCAAAGCCCTCCTTAGCTAAGGCTTCACCGAGGAGCCGAGGGGGCAAGCGTCTGGAGCGCCTCTGCCGGCACCCCAGAAATCCTGAAAGTTTCCGAGGTTAGGGTTTAGGGTTTAGGGTTTAGGGTTTAGGGTTTAGGACTATAGAGTTTACGATCTGAGGCGTACCTTACTGGGGTCGGAATCCTACTATTTGGGCTCAATATTCTGGGTCCCTCATTTTCGTAAACCCCTGCCTTTCTTTGCAGGCAAGTGTTGAGGGTCGAGGGTGAAGGGCTTATAAGTTGTGGGTCTACGGTTCCGTTTTTCTCTGTGAATTCCTTTGCGCTTCTGCTCGGGTGTTTTGAAGGTATGTAAAGCGCACGGGAAGTTTTTACACGCGAGATCATTCGAGTACTCTGTAGACTAGAAGTATACAAAGCATCTCCAACAGAACCGCAGAGCCAACACGGAAGGCTGATAAGCTATCCCCTGATTCACCCTAAGCCCGCAACCCTTAACCCTTGCCCCTTAACCCTTGACCCTAAACCCTAAACCGTAAACCCTAAACCCTAAACTCCAAATCGTTAACTTGACACCCTAGAGCCCTCAGCTCTACACCGTCAAGCCCCGAACCCCAAGCGCTACATCCCAAGAGTATCTGTGAGCTTCCAGCTTACAACTTATCAGGTTTAGGGTTTAGGGTTTAGGGTTTAGGGTTTAGGGTTTAGGGTTCAGGGTTTCGGGTTTAGCTCTACGTAGGTTAGAATGGGGGGTAAGAAGCACTACACCCCCCCCCCCCCCAAGAATGTACAAAGTGCCCCCAAAGCTATAGTCCTTGCATCCAATACTGCTTTTACATGCTTACAGGCCCCCTGAACCCTAAGCCATAAATCCGCAAGAGTACTAGAATGGGCCACCATGTCTCAGTTCGAGGCCCTAAACCATAAATCTAAACTGCTGCTCCTGCTTGAACCAAAGGCCCAATTTTTCTAGGGCTGAGAGACTCGAATCCCTAAGCCTTAAACCCTCAACCCAAAGAAAACCAACAACAACCTCCCGAGGCCTATAACTCCAAACCCTAAACCCTAAACACTCGAAACCCCAAACCCTAAATCCTGAATCCTGTCTGAACCATATTGAGCTACCAAGAGCCCCCCAAAACTATACTCCCCATAGAACCTTAATACAAATAATATTGTTAATATCCTCTTGGGTTTTGTATAAACAAAAGTAAAAAATAATTCCCAAGGGGGGATATAGAAAAGAGAGCCTGCTTGCACTTTGCACGCTGAGCTCCAGGATGCTAAAGGACGAGAAGCCCAACCTCACAAAATGCTCACTGTTAGGGCTTAGGGTTTAGGGAGTTTAGGGTTTAGGGTTTAGGGTTTCGGGTTTAGAGTTCTAGGGTTCTAGGGTTGAGGGACTTTAGGGTTTCAGGTTTAGGGGGTGCGGGGTTTAGGGCTGAGGGACTTGGGGTTTAGGGGCTTAGTGTTTTGGTGGACCTCTGGCCCCTGAGAGGTTCGTTCAACCCACAAAAAAAGGGGCCAAACACGTGGGGTTTAGGGTTACGTGTTTAGGCTAGCAAAATCCACAGTCCCCCAACACGAGACGTTCAGCCCTACACGCCCAAATCCCGAGCAGCGTGTTTCAGAGTCCTTGGCCCCCCTAGTCCCTAAACCCTACAGGGTGGGGCCCCCTTACTATACTAACTGTAGTTAAGGGACTTATAACCTAACTTAGGGTCCTTATAACCCAATTTAGGCCCTTATAACTCTACTTATAACTAGGAGGCCCCACCCTGTACACCCGAAACCCACAGCATCCTGCAACATGCCCCGACACTGTTCAAGACTCTCAGCCCCCCCCCCCCCCCCCCCGGCCGCACCCTAAGACCGTCCAACCTTTGACCATAGACCTTCCCCTCCCAACGGGAAGCGTTTTGAATTCATGGGGGGATCGCCTGTAGCGAAGCTCCGCATGTAGGCTCATGTCTGCGATCTTCTTCACCTCACAGGGCTTGGGGTGCTTGGGGGTTTAGGGTTTAGGGTTTAGGGTTTAGGGTTTAGGGTCTTTCGGGTCTGAGCCCCGATTCACTGATCTGCTTCACCTCACTTGGGGTCAATTGCCATATTGGCTCGCCTCTTCGCATCCTGGTCTGCCCTTAATTTCCCAACTCACTTGCTGGCGGTGTTTAGGTATAGGGTTGGCATAAGCTTGTAGTTTCAACGGTCCAAGAACTGAGTCAAACAGCACGTCCCTAAACCTTACAGCCTGCCCGCATCAGCCTTTTGGGGTTTATGGTTTAGTGACACCTGGTTCGTGTGAGGACCTCACAAGATACTTCCCAAGCTCCAGCGATCCCCAACGTGTTTGCTCATCCTCGGTTTGTGGGGTTTAGGGTGTAGGGCTTAGGACTCTAGGGATTTGGGCTAAGGGTTCAGGGTTCAGGGTGTGTTGTCTAAACCCTAAACCCTAAACCCTAAACCCTAAACCCTAAACCCTAAACCCTAAACCCTAAACCCTAAACCCTAAACCCTAAACCCTAAACCCTAAACCCTAAACAATAAACCCTAAACCCTAAACCCTAAACCCTAAACCCTAAACCCTAAACCCTAAACCCTAAACCCTAAACCCTAAACCCTAAACCCTAAACCCTAAACCCTAAACCCTAAACCCTAAACAAAAAAGGCGATCCCGGGAACCGGGGAGTTGCCCGCGTGCGCAGTCGAGAGCTTGACCACCGTGTAGCCTGAGCTTCATTCATGAGCGGGCTTTAGGGTTTAGGGTTTAGGGTTTAGGGTTTAGGGTTTAGGGTTTAGGGTTTAGGGCCTTAGGGTTTAGGGTTTAGGGGTCTTTTGCGGGTGAATTGGGTGTATTGGGCTTTCGGGGTTTATTGGGTGTATGGGGTTATCCGCGGTTAGGCTTGGTTTGTTGGGTTTATCGGTTTGTTCGGTTCGGGGGGGGGGGGGGGGGGGGGGCGGGGGGGGCGGGGGGGGCGGGGGGGGCGGGGGGGGCGGGGGGGGGCGGGGGGGGGCGGGGGGGGGGGGGGGGTGAGGGGGGGCTGGGGGGGGCCGGGGGGGGCCGGGGGGGGCGGGGGGGGCAGGGGGGGCGGGGGGGCGGGGGGGGCGGGGGGGGCGGGGGGGGCCGGGGGGGGGGGGGGCGGGGGGGGGGGGTGGGGGGAGGGGGCGGGGGGGGGGGGGGCGGGGGGGGGTGGGGGGGGGCGGGGGGGGGCGGCGGCGGGGGCGGGGGGCATTGAGTTGGGTTTATTAATTATTCTTCTTTTTCTGTGGGCGGGCGGGTGGGGGGGGGGCGGGGCCGGGGGTTTATGGGCTTGATCAATGTGTTTTTTTGGGCTTGGGTTGTTATGTCTTTTTTTGGGGGTAATTTCAGGGCTGCTGGGGTCTGCAACGCAGGGTTTGGTTCAGGTGGCCAGGCATAGGATCCCATTGAATTCGAGGTGGTCGATGATGAAACTGGTTGTGGCTTCGATTCATCAAAGTACGGTGTCTTACCTTTGCTCGAGCTTCTTAGGGTAGCTTTCGGTACAAAGCTATCGATACCTCTCGACGCACTGTACGAAGTCAGATGGTACCTCATGACTCTGACGCCTGAGCCCTGTTGATGCGATCCTTCAGCGTACCGACATGTCTTACAAAACAGTGTAGTAGAAGAAAGGCGGGGATGAACACCTCTCCACAAACGATCGCCCAACGATGCAGCTCCAAGGCTCTTACCCTGAGCCACGTTGCGCGAGAGCCCCGGAGACCGAAAAAACAGGGGCGCCACAGGCTAGCGACTGGTCCCTCTTTTTTGGGATTCCTACGATATAGTATATAAAGGGACTTCCCACGACAGGGACCAGAATCGACCGACAGAACCTTCCAAGCAAAGGCAAGCTTAGAAGGCACAGGGAACGCACGCAGCAGAGATATTAAGTACTCTTAGGGTTAGGACTTGCCGGGTCAGGGGGCTTGAAGATATTGAAGGGGGGAGGGGGGGGGACTGTAGAATGGTTTAGGGTTTAGGGTTTAGGGTTTAGGGTTTAGGGTTTAGGGTTTAGGGTTTAGGGTTTAGGGTTTAGGGTCAAAGCTCCCCTTTGCAACTTTGGAGCAATGCAGGGGCAGAAGGTGGAAGGTCTTCCCCTCCAGAGAGATGTTGCCGATCGCGCCTGCGGGGATTAAACGCCTCACCCCTAAACCCTTACCCTACAATCGGATTTGGATCTCCCCCGCAAGTCGGCAAGATGAGGCCCTTCTGGGTTTAGACTTTAGGGATTATTATATTATTACATCATTATATTGTTATAATAATACATTATTATTTTATTATATTATTGTATTATTATATTATTATGTTATTATGTTTTTTTTTTTAATGTTTTTATGTTATTATACTATTATATTTAGGGTCTAGGGTTTAGGAGCTCGAAGCCTTCAGTATCAGGTTGCACTGACAGTTCGGCCAGCTTCCGGAGCCGTCGACCCACTGCTCTCGGAAGGTAGCCCCCAAGAAAGGTTTAGGGTTTAGGTTTAGGGTTTAAGGTTTAGGGTTTAAGGTTTAGGGTTTAGGGTTTAGGGTTTAGCTCTTTTCACCAGACTCCAAGAAACAAAACACCAGCAAGCTGTCCAGTAGCCTCGGAACAAAGTGGCACCCTCAAGCCTAGACTTAATCTCTCAGAGAAGGGAATAAGGATGCCGCTGGGCATCCTACAGGGTGGGGCCCCCTTACTATACTAACTGTAGTTAAGGGACTTATAACCTAACTTAGGGTCCTTATAACCCAATTTAGTGCCCTTATAACTCTACTTATAACTAGGGGGCCCCACCCTGTAGAAGAACAGGGTGTCCCCGAGATGGGAGTTTCTTGAAGCTCTGTTTTTTGCCCATAACGAAGAGTCCCCTCTACGAGTGCTGCCCCGAAACTCTACTGAACTTTGAACCCTGGCAAGATTATAATTTCAGCTGTATCTTAGGAATTGAGATATTCAGGAATTGCCAACTATTCCCACGTGTCCCTAAGTAAACGCTGCACCCCCCCCCCCCCCCTTTTTGGCGGAAGGCCCCACTTGGGCCCACTGTTCTTGGGAAGGCCTTCAGGCAGCAAGCGGCGCTCTCCATAGATGAAGGCCTGGCCATCGTATCCTTTGAGGAGAGACCTGAGGCTGCTGTTTAGGGGTTTAGGGTTTAGCCTAAGTCCGCTCGCGGTTCGAGTAAGCTTTGCGCTGAATTCAGTTGAGGCCCCTCCCCCCAACGTAGAGCCTAAGCCCTAAACCCTCAGCCCATCACATCCGTATTTGGTAGCTCTCTGACTTAGGGTCCAATTTTGGGTCCTCTATGTCGTACGGCAGACTTACACAAAGAAGGACCCCAAGAGTGTCCCCAATTTAGAGAACTACCTAGGCTAGCCCTAAATCCAGAACCCTAAGCCCTAAGCCCTAAGCCCTAAGCCCTAAACCCTAAACCCTAAACCCTAAACCCTAAACCCTAAACCCTAAACCCTAAACCCTAAACCCTAAACCCTAAACCCTAAACCAAGGCAAGTCTGAGGTTCGCACACTGCGGTGGTGGGCTTGCTGGACCGATACTCCTCGAGAGAAAGGCTTCCAAGGGTTTAGGGTTTAGGGTTTAGGGTTTAGGGTTTAGGGTTTAGGGTTTGGGGTTTGGGGTTTAGGGTTTAGGGGTATTTGAGGTTCGGGGCTCCGGTTCTTAGGGTTGAGCTGAGGGTCTGGAGCTTAGGGTTCCTAGGGTTCTTAGGGTTTTGGCAGGTTTAGGGTTCAGGGATGAGGCTTTCAAGGCTCCCCTTTTTGCTGCTCGCAGCTCGCGAGGGCTTTTTTTGTTGTTCGGTGATTCACGAGTTCTCAAGGGCTCAGAATACTTGGCGTGTTTGTTTGCTGGCGCTGACAAGGCAGGTTGACAGCAGCTGCCCGAAACGCTACAAAACTTACAAACCCTTAACTCTGCAAACCAATAGAAACCCTGAACCCTGTCAACCCTGTGAACCCTCAAAGCCTACAAACCACATAAACCCCAAACACCCAATGAACCCTACAAACCCTGTCAGCCCTACAAACTCTGCAAACCCTACAAACCTTACAAACCCTATAAACCCCTGCAAAACCCCTATAAACCCCTATAAACCCTATGGGGCTCCGGCGCAAAGCGCAGACACCAAAGCCCGAGCCCAACTAAGACTAGCTCTGCGCAACGGGAAGTCGTGACTTCGGTGCTAGTCTTAGGGCTTAGGGTCCCGTAAAAACCCGTAAAAACCCGTAAAAACCCGTAAAAAAACCAAACGACCAAAAACAATTGGCTTGTTGGGGTTCCAGGTAGGGCTTAGGGTCCCGAAAAAGGGGCTTTCATAGGGGATAGTTGGTACTGAATTCCCTAACCTTAGGGGCTTCTGTGGTTCCCTTTGTGGTCTTTTGGGGTTTAGGGTTTAGGGTTGAGGGTTTAGGGTTTAGGGTTTAGGGTTTAATCCCAAAATCCCCACTTTTGATCCTGCAAGCAACCGAACCGCCAGACCCCCGGCTGGCCTACAGCTGCAATGGGCGGGCAATGGAAAACGCAGTCCAAAGTGGTGTACCCTCGGTTTTCTGATCACGACCCTAAACCCTAGCTCCCATTACGATGGATTCGTCGTCTGGAGAAACTGAACTGCCCCACAGAAAACCCATTTTTGGAGGTGATTCGAATAAAGCCCCCGATAGGATTCTTAGGTAACCTACAAAGAAGGTAGGTCTTGGGTTCTTAAGGCAGGGTTTACTTGGGTTCTTAAGGCAGGGGTTTAGGGAAGCAGCAACCTTGAACCCTGAACCCAGGCCTCGTGGAAGAGATTCGCCACAGCCACGATGCGCGCAGGAAACGCGTCCTTCGGCCATTCCTCTAACCTTGGGAGAGGGCTTCGGCCTTAGGGTTCAGGGTTTCGTGGCGAGTGTTTAGGAGGTTTTTTGTTGGCTCAAGGTTCGTGGCTGGGACGGGTTTGGGATTTAGATCCGGTTAAATGTGAGAAGTTATACTGTTCATATGGCCGCGAATCACGTTACGGCTATGTCGCAGTGTTCCGCCACCCTTTCTTACATGCGCATGTCGCACCCAGTTGTTTCACACATGTGTCGCGGGCACATTTTGAAGTCCTCTTTCAGGAGGGGCTTGTCATGCGCAGGGGGGGGGGGGGGGAAAGAGAAGAACGGCTTCGTCACAAAAGCGTGCCTGGGGCCTGTTACATACCCTGGACTGTTAAGTCGAAGTCGCATATAAGAGTCTCTGATACGACTCCTGTAAGGGACAGTTGGTTGAAGTGTCTGAAGAACTCCGAAGCCCAGAGCCCTGAACCCTAAAGGCTGTTGTCTTGCAAGAACCTACGAAATGCAGGGTTTTTGTGGCCCTCTCAAAGCTTCCGAAAAACCCATCCCGAAACCCATTTGGGTGTCCCCTTAAGCACCGACACCTGCTTATGAGGGAGGTCCCTAAACCCTAAACCCTAAACCCTAAACCCTAAACCCTAAACCCTCAACCCTCAACCCCAAACCCTCAACCCTCAACCCACCCAAGTCTCCCGAGCATCTTAAACTCCGAAACCGGAGCCCTGTGACTTGCCATGCTCCGAAGTTGTCCAGTATGTTTAGGGTTTAGGGTTTAGGGTTAGGGTTTAGGGATTAGGGTTTAGGGATTAGGGTTTAGGGTTTAGGGTTTAGGGTTTAGGGTTTAGGGTTTAGGGTTTAGGGTTTAGGGTTTAGGGTTTAGGGTTTAGGGTTTAGGGTTTAGGGTTTAGGGTTTAGGGTTTAGGGTTTAGGGTTTAGGGTTTAGGGCTACTCGTACATACCATTGAAAAAGGCTTAGGTCTTAGGAAAACATTGAAGATGTTGCTGCGCCCAGCCAAAGCTGCTCCGCCCACGGGATGTCGGAGATCCTCTTACGAACCGCGTGGAACCTCTGGAGGCCGAAGCCCAAGACAAAAATCTGCACCGTCTCCGTTCCTTTCCTCAGCCAGGGTTTACGGGCTCAGGCTTTATAGGGTTTATAGGGTGTGGAACCCTAAACCCTAAACCCTAAACCCCTAAACCTTCCACATGAAAGGCAGGGCTAACTTCTGCTTCGCGCGAGTCGCTGTTTCCAGTCGCGGAACGCCTCGCCCAAAGGATGTCCAACAGAATCCTCTGCAAAGTGGAAGGCGGTCGGTTCTCTGAACTATTTTCCTGTTTGGGGTACCCTAAAGCCCATGCCCTAAACCCTGAACCCTGAAAAACATGCTGTTGAAGGATAGCTCATACTATGACATATGACTGTATGGGGACTGAGGGGGATGCTGGCCATACGGGGCTTCAAAGGGGGCTTAGAGGGTAGGGCTTTGGTGGTTAGGGTTAAGGGCGTTGGGGGGGCAGGGTTTCTAGAGTTTCAGGGCTTCCACCACCACGACCTTGCAGAAATGTGTGTACGTAGACCACGGCAGGGGAAGTAGCTCCCGTCCACATCTGCTGAAAAGGACCTGAAAAGGCTTAAGGCCCAGAGCTCGTGCCCGCAACCAATCGGCATGCCATCTTTCAGCATGGAAGTAGCTAAGCCGGGGTTTAGGGTTTAGGGTTTAGGGTTTAGGGTTTCTTTCACGATGGCTGCAGAAGAACAAGCCTCTTGCTCCGTAACCCAGCAAACATCTGAGGGTCCGATTCACACCAAACTGCAACTCTTGGATGTCCCTTAAAGCACCCTGAAAAATACTCCTGAATATGAGCCTCTTAAACCCACTGCGGGAAAAGAAAAGGTCCTAAGGGCAGAGAACTTCAGGTGTGGAGTTTCTCGGCCAGTTCATTCTCAAAACCCCTGTCCGGTCCCCTGTCCTTGCGCAAGAGATGGCGTTTGTCGTACGGGATCGTTCCCTGTGCCATCTTCGGACCAGAATCCTGACAGCTTGAGCTTTGTAAGGCGAATGGTATTTCGGGTAACGCGGAGCATCTGCGAGTTAACACCATCCAACAGACGAGCATCAACGTGAATGGCATAGAGATCTGACGCGGCTTAATAATTAGTCAGATCCCATGTACTTGGAGGTTCAGGGTACGTATAACCCCAATTTGAACTGTGCTTATAAGGCCCCTCAGTCCCCTAAGTCCTCTAAGTAGGTTATAAGTAGACTCATAATTGGGGTTAGAAGTACCCATGTGAACCCCCTGAACCCTAAACCCTAAACCCTCAACCCTAAACCCTAAACCGCCTAATTAGAATTGGGGGTTCTAAGTACCCATATAAACCTCCAAGTATACGGATGAAACCAAAAAAAAGGATCTCCGGGAAGGGCAGCTTTGCCTTCTTCGGATCCCTGAATACTACACCGACACCCTGCGCACAAAACAGGGTTTGGGCCTTAGGGTTTAGGATTTAGGGTTTAGGGTTTGGGGTTACTTCTACCTAAAGAATATATAAGTCTTTTCCAGGGTCTACTCCAAAAAGTAGGGAAAAACAAGGCCCACATCACCCTAAGCTTCGCCGCAAAAATCGGGCCTTGTTTTGAGTTTGGGCGGGGGGGGGGGGGGGGTGTGAAGGATCTTATCAGTGAACCGTTGTGTCCGGCCCAAATATCCCGAGCTTCCCTAAACCCTAAACCCTAAACCCTAAACCCTAAACCCTAAACCCTAAACCCTAAACGCGACATTTTCCGCACACGATATCGCTCGGCTGGACATACCATACTTCTGTCGAAGGCACTTGCAAGATTTGGAATTCCCGAATACCCTACACCCACAACCCCGAACCCCCTAAACCCAAACTTCCGAAAACCCCGAAACCAAATCCCCAAAGCCTAGACCTGTTATTGGTCAGAAATGAGGGTTCCATCTTCTGGATCAACTCGCATGTGAGTCTTTGCGACAGGCTTTCTCATCCTGAAACCTCAAACTAAACTCCAAACCCAGCAACCATAACAAGGCAAGGGGCAAGGGAGCACACTTATTTGCGTTGTTAAGATTTCTACTCCTGAGCCCTGGGCCATCTGAGCCCAAGCCCTCAACGACCGAATCCCGAAGACCCGAGGTCCCGCAACCGGCGCCTGACCGATCTCTGCTACGTGAACTCCTTCTTGAAGCCTCGGACCCGACTTCGCCACCCCAACCCCCCCAAAAAAACAAAAAAACAGAATCCTCAACCCAAAACCCGAACCCTCCTCCCCCCCACCCCCCCCCCCCCCCCCCCCCCCCCCCCCAAAAAAAAGCAAGCCTGACCCCCTACAAAGGTCTACGACAGATCCCACACCTTCAATGCAGAGCTTGCGCACGAGACCCTTGAAGGATCGATGCTGTACGGACGCTTCATCCCTGTGGGGTGTATGGACCCCCTAAACCCTAAACCCTAAACCCTTAACCCTACACCCTAAACCCTGAACCCTTTCCCTTCTTTACCCTTTGCTTTTTCAGTTGCAGGTTTGCTTCCAAGCGTTGGTGGGTTACAGCAGCATTTGAGCATTTTTTTATTTCATTGTGTGGGGTGTTATACTAGCAATGACCTCCTACGCGGGCCTACGCGTGAACTCATGTTTAGTAGCCGCGCGGCCTACGCGCGGAGTATGTTGTAGACGCGTGCCTACGCGGACCTACGCGGCAAGCCCTTGAGCAAAGCACAAACGCAGCGTTTAGACCTTAACCCTAATCTTAAACCCTAAACCCGAAGATGTCTGCCCAACTCTGCCCGGTTTCCTGCCCAAGCCCGATTTTCTGCCCAACCCGGCCCGATTTGGGATGTTGATGGAAGGGCTACGACGTTGAAAACGACACCTACGCCTACGCGCGGGCTACGCGGAGCCTACGCCGCGCCTACGCGGAATTTATATGTACAAATATAAGTATACGTATGTATATAAATAAATGAATACATATGTATATATATATATACATAAATATGATACTACTATACACCAACAACCTACGCGGACCTACGCGGAGGTACTGCGTAGACTTGGCTACGCGGACCCTACGCAGACCTACGCGCTGCAGGCAAAATGCTACGCGGCCGATTTCCGAGAATCGCGTCTCTATGTGGCCTTGCTTGTAGAAAAAAAACGCTGCTCATTTGCGTCTCTTGCATTCGCTCCAGTCCTCTTTACATAGTCCTGGGCAAGTTAACCTGTTGTGGGTTTAGGGTTTAGGGTTTAATTAGGGTTTTTAGGTTTTTAGGGTTTAAGGTTTAGGGTTTAGGGTTTACAGATGGCTCCACCTTCTTTGGGGAAGGGCCGAGCCTAGCTTTGTCAGGGTGGGCGGTTGTACAAGAACGAACTGTAGCTCGAGGGCCGCTACCAGAAGCCTTTCAATCCAACAACAGAGCTGAAGTTTGTGCAGTCCTTCAGGGCAGTTTCGGACGCAGCAGGTGGGGATACTATACTTACTGTGATAGCACATGCACGTGCCTTGGTTTCCAAAGGCTGCTGAATGAAGGGTGGCAAGAACACCATTGGACCCACGTTGAAAACTACGATCTGTGGCGTATTCTGCCAGACTGGGGGCAGATATGCACCGATGGCGTAGTCATTGGATACCGACCCACAATCCGTTTGACGCCCTAAGGGGTTCTTACGCTCAAGGGTTTAGGGTTTAGGGTTTAGGGTTTAGGGTTTAGGATTTAGGGGGGTTTAGGGGGGTTTAGGGGGGTTTAGGGGGGTTTAGGGTTTAGGGGGGTTTAGGGTTTAGGGGGGTTTAGGGTTCAGGGTAAGAACTGCAAAGCAAGCAGCCGGTCGACTCCCTCACCCCAGAGGTAGAAGGCCTGCGCGAAGCTCCGCCCCTCTCGCCCCATCTAGGGAAGTTACATGGCCCCTTAGTAGGGTTTAGGGTTTAGGGTTTAGGGTTTAGGGTTTAGGGTTTAGGGTTTAGGGTTTAGGGTTTAGGGTCCTTGAACGGGGACCCCCTTCAATACCCTCTACAGCCCAAGGGCCCCTACTTCAGAACCCTTTGAAGGAGGTAAAAGGACAATACTACGGGAACCTGAAATGGCCAGCGTGGATGACCTGGCCTCCATGGTGGAAGCGACCTCAGCTACTATCCTAAACCCTAAACCCTAAACCCTAAACCCTAAACCCTGAACCCTGAACCCTGAACCCTAAACCCTAACTCTGGAAGGGTTCGTACGTACTGTATAGGGACATGGATCCTGGGCTAGACATTTAGTGCTTTGGGCAATATATGGCAAGATGGTATGGGGGAGGACGCAGTGGTGATTTTGTTACCCCCCCCGGGTGAGTTTGGGGGTGGAGGGTTTAGGGTTCAGGGCACTTGAGGTACTCGAATCAAAGGGTTGGACTGGATATAGCGTAGGGTTTAGGGCCTTTAGGGTCAGGGCCTCGGGATGTCAGAAGCAAAGGCACACGACACTGCAATGCTTTATGCTCTAGGGTGTAGGGTTTAACTACACATGCCTGTACTCAAAGGATCAGTGTAAGACCTCTCAAACTCTCAACCCCTCTCAAACCGAAGCTCGAGTCTGAACCCCATGCATGGACCTTGGGCTAAAGCCGAACCTGTGCAATAAAGGGGCCTTGATAATCAAAATAGGGTTTTGGGGGGGGTAGTTATAAGGACCAAAAGGGAAAATTATGAGTAAATTTTCCGACCCCCATGATACACTAGCTCCTTTGCCTTCAGCCACAAAGCCTAAATCCCAAACTTTCGAACCCTAAACCCTAAACCCTAAACTCTAAACCCTAAACCCCAAACCCTAAACCCAGCGGCTGTGTTGGAAGAGAGGTAGGCGTCGTCCTGGTCAAAGAGCGCCACGTTCGCGCAGGCGGGCAGCAGCTCCTGTTTGCATCTGCTGCATGTATAAACCATACACCTGGAGGTTCAGGGAACTTACCAACTATAAGCTCTCACTTGGGGAGGTTCAGGGGGCACTTATTTCAACCAATGATAACTGTACTTAAGAAACCCAGTTATAAGCCCCTTGTAAGTGCCCCAATATGGTTATAAGTACAGTTGTAAGTACGGTTATAAATGGTTAATAAGTACCATGAACCTTTAAGTACCTGGGACTCTACTCGGAGGTGCAGGGTACTCATGACCCCAATTATAGCACATACATCCGGGACACCTTGACTCAGCGTGAGCGGAGTCGAAGGTGACTATAACCCCAAGTATAACTTCACCTATCAGCCCCGTAAGTCCCCCAAGTCCTCCTTAGTTGTCCAGGAACCTGGGGGAATTCAAGGTTAACCTTTGGCCTTGTAAGGGGATTATACTACCCCAAAAAGGTTGAAGGTTACCTACTCTACTACGAGGCCTCTAAGTAGGTTGTAAGTAGACGTAAACCGTACCTGGGAGGATCCTTGACTATTCTTCCCTTAGAAGCAATTTACACTTACTTAGGGTTTTCGGGGTTAGTCGTAACTCCCCCCTAGTTAGAAGGTATTAGAACCAAAAACACGCACATGAAAAAAGACACCTTCAGGGTTCTTAGGGTTAGTAGTAACTCCCCCTTAGCTAGTAGCTAGAACCCATTCAACTGTAGGTTTAGGGTTTGGGGTTTACGGTTTACGGTTTAGGGTTTAGGGTTTAGGGTTTAGGGTTTAGGGTTTAGGGTTTTCGGGTCGTGTGTTTTGGGTTTAGGTTTATATTTTGCCTCATTGGGTTTAAGAGGATCAATCTGAGGAATGTGTTTTCAGAGGGTTTCAAGGGCCGCGCTAGTGAAAGTTTCTCTTACATTTCTATGGCCTGAATGAATCCCGACCAGACATGACCTTTTCGACGTTTAATTTCTGCAGGACCACCCCCCCCTCCCGCAAGGGATAGTTGGCTCACTGGGTTCAACTCCCTGTAATGAGCCAAAGAAAGCCGACACTTACTTGAACCAATTTCCTTTAGGGCTTGCGGGGTTAGTCGTAACTCCCCCTTAGTTAGAAGGTGTTCGAACCAAATGCACACACATTAAAAAAACACACCTTCAGGGTTTTTAGGGTTAGTAGTAACTCCCCCTTAGCTAGTAGCTAGAACCCATTCAACTGTAGGTTTAGGGTTTAGGGTTTAGGGTTTAGGGTTTAGGGTGTTGGGAAAGAGAGGTCTCAGGTAGGCCCCAAAAAACCTTATAATCCAGCCAAGCTCGAAGAAAGGCTGCTTGCTTGTCTCTGCACGTTTGGGGCTTTTGGGGGTTTAGGGTTTAGGGTTTAGGGTTTAGGGTTTAGGGTTCAAGGTTTGACGCTGCGCCATGGGTCGCTTAAGGATATGTGGTGAGTTCTAGTTCTCGAATATCTGGTGCCTTTTGAGGCTCTTTGAGGTTTCTGGAAGAATGCGGAGCTTCGAGGTGCCCATAGAAAAAAGACCACACACCACGCCTTTCCACAGCGGTTAAGAGCTTTCTTTGGCTCATTACAGGGAGTTGAACCCAGGAGGGAGGGGGGGATCCTGCAGAAATTAAACGTCGAAAAGGTCATTGACGCCATAGAAATGTAAGAGAAACTTTCACTAGCGTGGCCCTTGAAACCCTCTGAAAACATATTCCTCAATCTGATCCTCTTAAACCCAATGAGGCAACATATAAACATGTCCGAAGGGCACTAAACCCTAAACCCAAAACCCACAGGGTTTAGGATTTAGGGTTTAGGGTTTAGGGTTAATCCGGTTCAAGCCCTGCAAGAGAACTCCATAGCGCTCCTCAGTCAGGAAGATCTGGGGTCCAATTTGTGCCACCACACTTGTGCTCATGGGATCTCGTGCTTGTCCATCAGCAGCCAGGACCCTAAGCACTAGTTCATTGTTGGGATAATAATAAAAACTTACAATGTTATTCCTTTATTGGGGTTAAGTACCCTTAAAAATGTAAAATGGTACCCAACTATGACTAAGAAGGCACCAAAGCAACTGAAACCCCCAACGCGCGGAATGGCCTGTGTCCACAGGCAGAAACCCTCATCCCTGAATCCTCAAAACGCCTAAGCCCCAGACACTTCCCAAATAACCCGACATACTCGTAAACAACCCAAAATCACCGTATATATAGGCCCTAGTCAATCCCAAGTAACCAAAGCAATCCCTGAACCCTAAGGCCCAAACACTAACCCGAGCTGAGTTGCTGATGGGTCCCCGTAGGCCGACTCGTCAGCATCAGGAAAGGGCAGCGGTACATGTGCTTCCTCTGCTTGGACAGCCCGTTTCGGAGGTTCAGGGCAGCTGTAGGTATACAGGGCGATGAGTAGGGTGGGGGGAACCTGCATCCTGCACCCAGAATGCCCGGCCAGCCTCGACCCTAAGCAAGACAGCTGAAACAATGGCTTGGGGTTTCTATACGCCCCTTAGAACCTTAATAAAAATGATACTTTTAATATCCTCTTGGGTTTTGTATAAACAAAATAAAAACAATTCCCAAGGGGGATGCAGGTTTAGGGTTTAGGGTTTTGATTGTCCATTGCTGACTCGAGATGGTATCAACTGTGTGCTTGTGGGTGTTGGGTGCTTTGCGGACTTTGGTGGGTGGATCAAAGTCAGGGTTTGGGTTTGGGGTTTCAGGTTCTGTGGTTTTGGGGTTGCGGGTTTCTGGTTTGGGGCTTGAGGTTAGGGCTTATGCTTCCGGAATCCTAAACCCTAAGCCCTAAACCATAACTATGTGGATTTGGGGTGTAGGGATTTGAACTTAGGACTTAGGGGCGAGGTTCATGAGACTTCTCTACTCCCCTTCGAACCTGAATAACAAATAATGCGTTGAATATCCTCTTGGGTTTTGAATAAACAAAAATAAAAAAAAAAAAAACTCCCAAGAGGGATATAGACTCGGGGGGCTTAAGAGTGCAGCTAGAATTGGGGTTCTAAGTGCCCTGAGCCTCCAAGTAGGGCACGTCTGACCTCCGAACCCTAAAAATCCTCAAACAAAACCTTCACAAGCCCTAAACCCTAACCCTAAACCCTAAAACCTAAACCCTGAACCCTAAACCCTGAACCCATTTGACTCCGGGCATCTTCAGCCACAGCACCAGCCAGTCGACAATTGCGCGCCGCTTCTCACCCGCCTCGTCGAAGCCATCCAGGACTAAGACCAGTTTCCTGGGTCCTGTCTTTAAGGGTTTAAAGGGTTTAGGGTTTGGGGTTTAGGGTTTAGGGCCAGTTTAGGGGTTTTCGGGTTCAACCCTGAACCCCACCCCCACCCCCCCCCCCCCCCCCCCCCGGCAGGGAAAAAAAAAAAAAAAAAAAAAAAAAAACGGAATCGCCTTCGACGATCTCCTGGGTCTCCGGGTCTTTCCCAAAAGCCTGGTGCGCCCAGCGCTCAAACCTCGGAGATGGAGGGGGGGGGGTGCTTTGGTTGAGGATTCAGGGTTGAGGGTTGAGGGTTCAGAGTTTAGGGTTTGAGGGGTTGGGGTTTCGTTTTTGAGGTGGAACGGAAGGAACCAGAATTTGCAGGGCACCTCTCTCCTAAACCCTGTGCGAAAGCTTTCTGAAAGTGGTTGCTTTTTGACCTTTTCACTGCAACCCTTAGCCTGGCAAACTTCAAGCAGGAAGCCCCTAAAGCAGAGCCTGGTGACACAGGATAATGGGGTTTAGGGTTCAATCCTGGATCCTACTCGCAAGCTGCTAGACCTGAATTTCTGCATTGGGCTGGGATTTAGATGGGGACGGGGAGGTCATCAGATACAGCGTTGAGACACAACACAACATGGTTTTGACCCCACGATATTAGGATTTAGAAACCAACACTGTTTCTGCGATCCTTGTCGTTGTTCTTCATGCTGCCGCTCGTGCTTGCCTTTGCTTTTTTGAAAGCTTGCTTGGCCTCGTCCTTGGACTCGAATAGCTGCTCCTTGACACGCGACGCCGACATCCGTGTTCCGCTGAGCATGACAGTCTTGTCTGCGACGGGAACGCACAAGCGCCCTTGGAGGTCAGGCTTGACCACGTAGGGACAATTCACAAGTCAAGCCAAGCTGAAATTCACAAGACAATGTCTGCTTGCATTGCAACCATGGAGCTTGCAAGCCCAACTTGTTCGTGATGTAGCTCTTTCGCTCGCGGTCTGACTTGAAGTGTTTTTTGCACTTCACTTGCTCCAGGTACTTGGCGCTGAAGGGCTCAAGTGCATGCCCGAGCCCTCCCGCCCTCCCGACTGCCCCCGCGCTCCTTGGCCCCTTGCCTCCACGCGGTTTAGGGTTCAGGGTTTAGGGTTTAGGGTTTTGGGTTTAGGGTTTGGGGTTTAGGGTTTAGGGTTTAGGGGTGCATAAGCCCATGACACTCAAAGGCTCAAATCCTAGAGGCTGTGCAGAGCCCAACCACCCCACCCCCCCACCACCCTAGGTTTTAGGCTTTGGGGTGTAGGGTTTAGGATGCACCTGAGCTGGCGTCCAAGAGCCAAAACCACTTCTACTCCGGGGCCGATGTACTTAGAATTGGTGCCCCTCAGTCGTGTTATTTATTTGGAAGGCTTCAAAGACCTGAGAAGCACTCCACAAAAACACAACTGTTTGAAGCAATACACCGAAAAGTTTGAGATATGGGTTTAGGGTTTAGGGGTATAGCTTCCAGAGGCTTTATGTAGGGATGGGGTTGCAAGGGGACGACAGGTTTTTACAGGGATTTGGGGGATGATATTGTACTTACCAGGCCCACCCCATACCAAAACTGCCCCCTAAACCCTAAACCCTAAACTCTCAACCCTAAACGCTAAACCCTAAACCCCCAAACAAATCCGAAGACTCTGAAACTGGAAGCCAGAAGGCCCCCTCGAACTCTCAGGGGCGCCAAGAGGCAAGTCCATGCCGCCACCCGAAAGGTCCTGCTGTTGGGAGGTCTTAGGGGGTTTAGGGTTTAGGGTTTAGGGTTTAGGGTTTGGGGTTTAGGGTTTAGGGTTTACCTGGAACGCCGTAGTTGCTGCTTTTTTGCAGCAACTATTGAAAGTGGCAGGAATTTCGCAAAAGTGGCCAGAATTCCTGTCACTGGCAAGTTAACAGTGATTGCCCATCAGAAAGTGGCGTAAAAAGGCGTAAAAGTGGCGTAAAAAAGCGTAAAGTGGCGTAAAAAAGCGTAGACAATGTATGGGTAAAACCTGCAACTTTGCAGTGGCTGGTTTAAAGCGTCAAAAGCGGCACTTTCAATAGTTGCCACAAATTATTGGCAACTAGGCTTTCCAGGTAGGGTTTAGGGTTTAGGGGGCTTTCGCGCTGGGTTTGCGAGGGATTCTGAGGCTCAAAGCTTGGATTTACGAGTTTGGGGGATGGGAAATCACCTGAACACCCAAGCGAGTGCGGCTTCGTGGTTGTTAAACCCAGATCCTGATTCGGACGTGGGTACCAGCTACGCGACGACCAAGAGCCGCAAGCCACAGCCCGAAATCCGTATGCACGAAGCGTGCTCCACACCCGAAATACTGCACACAAACCCGAAACTCTGCATCCGCAAATCCGGAATGCCAGCCCCCAACCTAAATTCTCAAACCCTAAAGCCTAAAACCCCGAACGGCCCTTAACTCTATGGCCTATACCCCCCCCCACCCCTCCTTTCCCACCAAAAAAGGAGTTCCTCGGCCAGTGCCCGTGCTGAAGAAGCCCCATCCCGAACCCACAAAATTCACCCAACGCCCCAGCTGCCGAAACCAAGGGTTATGGGGGGTGTATAGGGAAAAGGGTTTAAGGAGGGTAAAAGGGGGTAGAAGGGGGGGGGGGGGGGAAGAGGGGGAGGTATAAGAAGGCGAACTCCAAGGATTCTGAGGGTTTACTACCCCCCCCCCACCCTCTTCCCAACCCCCCTTGAGGGATCCAGTCCAAACCTACATTGTTGCATAAAGGGCGCTTGTGGGGGTTTCCGAAATTAAGGGTGCCCTTTTCGAGGTTCCTTTAAAAGGATTCTGAAGTATTTCGGAGAATATAAGGGGTACCCCCATTTTCGGATATCCCCATGTCCTAGATAGGGTTCTTAGGGAAACTGAAAGTATACGGCTTTTGTGGGCTTTGCAGTCAACTAAGATGGCCCTTGCAACCCTCTGAACAATATGTTTCTGAATATGATCCTCTTAAACCCAAAAAGGGAAAATATGGAATGTCCTAAAAGCCCTAAACCCTAAACCCTAAACCCTAAACCCTAAACCCTAAACCCTACACCTTTCTTGCTCCTGAAAGTGAGAACCCTTGTCCGACAAGGTCGGAGTGCTGCCTCCGAGTGCACGGCGTGCCGGGCAAGCTCGGCAAGTGGCACACGCACCTTTCTGCCATTTGGGTTTAGGGTTTAGGGTTTAGGGTTTAGGGTTTAGGGTTTAGGGTTTAGGGTTTAGGGTTTAGGGTTTAGGGTTTAGGGTTTAGGGTTTAGGGTTTGCTTAAGACCCCCCAAAACATGAAAGACATATAATGCCCATATTGCACTTATAAGGAAGAACATTGTGAATGGTTCAGGGGGGGGGGTCTAAAGCAATTAGTAGCTTTCTGGGTGGCAAACCAGGAAGCACCACTGCAGGGTGGGGGTTTGGGCTGCAGCTGAGTTCGCAGAGTTCAGGGTTTTTGCCAGGTACCTCGTCCCTGACCGTAGTTGGTGCCCTAAAACCCGAACACCGAACACGCAAACCCTAAACCCTAACCTATGTGCCCTAAACCAATCTGCCCTAAACCTCTGTGCCCTAAACCTATCTGCCCTAAACCTATATGAAGTAGGGTCTATATTTCTTGTACCCCCAAAAGGACACCAGGTATATACACTCACCAATCTTACAAAGGAACCTTATATACACTCACCAGTAACAGTAATATGAATCCTGCTTCATATGCCCTAAACCCTGAACCCAAGCATCGGCGGCGAGACGACCTGGAAGCAGGGTTAAGGACTTCGGTAGGTTTGAGGACTCGTACTTGGAGGTTCGGGGTACTTATCGCCCCACATATATCCGTACCTGTAAGCCCCCCCCCAGTAGACTTGTAATTGGGGTTGTAAGTACCCATGAACCTCCAAGTATCCCCAGCAGGGCACCTACACACTCACCAAGAATGTATCGGTAAGCCTTTACTACACTCACCGATAACAGCTCAGAAGCCCTGCCCCAAAAGAAAAATGAAGAATGATAAAAACAAACTATAGCCATAGACCCCCGAAACCCGAAAAACAAAAAACAAAACCTTCAGCCCTGCATCCTAAACACTGAACCCTGATCCTGCTTTGTTTGCGGTTGAGGGTTTAGGGTTGTCACCTGCTGGGGCCTCTCTTATCGCATTCCCTCCTATGGGTTAGCCTGGTACTTAAATCTTGGGCGGAACGAGCTGAAAGCCAACGCACAGCGACACTGGAGAACTTCTACCTAAGCCCCAAACCCTGCAAGCATTTTATAAGCCCGACATCTCAGCAGACAAGCATTGCTGGCTGCAGATATAAACCCTACATCACAGAAGACACCTTCAGAGCCTAAAACCTACTGTTTTGTAGGCTGGCAAAGAATCCTAGACGAAAAGAGTTTGTATAAGAACCCACAAACAAGCACGTTTGGGGTTCTGAACGCAAGCATTGCAGGCTGCAGGTAAGGGACTGGTGTCAAGCTAACTCCACGTTCGCCTCAGCGCGCGCGTTCCCCTCTCCAGGGGTTCTACCATGTACCCTTGGGTTTTGGGGTCCCGCTTTAAGGATTCCTTGCACCCTAGCTGCTTCTCGGCTCTCTTGCGGACTGGTAGGGCTTCAGAGTTTAGGGCATAGGGAATTCGGGTTTAGGGTCTAGGGGTTGGGGTTTTGGGCTTAGGGCTTAGGGTTCAGGGTGCTTAGGGCTTCGGTGGCTTGGGAGTAAGACTAGGCTCAAGGCTACAAGGCCTAAACACGGAAGACTATGATCAGAACTCCCTTAAGTCTTAAGTTTGTGGCCTGGGGGGCTGCGTTTCAGGAGGTTTGAGGCTTAGGGTAATATAGGGTATTCCCTTATGGTCCCTTTGTAATTACATACACTATAAAGCTAAGCCCCCCTAAACCCTAACCCCTAAACCCTAAACCCTCCCTAAACAAGCCAAAACCCTAAACCCCAAACCCTAAACCCTAAACCTTAAACCTTAAAACCTAAATCCTAAACCCTAAATCCTAAACCCTAAACGCTAAACCCCGCACTCTATGTACTCCAAGCCCAAAGCCCTGTAAAACCTTGGATCAGCCCAGCACCCCCCGAATGGACCGTCATGTTTGGTCTGCTGCTTGCTACAGCGTCATACGGAGCCTGAAGTAGCCCTACGGCTTCGAGGTTCTGGGTACTTAGAACCCCAAATATAACTGTACTTCTAAACCTCCCCCTCCCAAAGTCCCCTAAGTCCTCTAAGTAGGTTATAAGTAGACGTATCATTGGGGTTATAAGTACCCAGGAGCCTCCAAGTGCCCCTGCAGCTAAGTGCCAGGCGGGCGAAGCGCACCTTATAGGGAAAATCGGGTTTAGGGTTTAGGGTTTAGGGTTTAGGGTTTAGGGTTGGGGTCTTCGGTGATGTTTGGGGCTTTTAAGGGGCTCCGCATGCCTGAAAGGAGGGGGACGGGTGGGTCGCGGGCAAGTGAGTGTTCAAGGGCTTTGGGTGCAGTGTTCGGGCGAGGGCTTCGGATCCTGAAACCCTAAACCCTACACCCTAAACCCAAAACTCTAAGCCCTAAACCCTAAACCCTAAACCCTAAACCCTAAACCCTAAACCCTAAACCCTAAACCCAATGACAGCTCCTGAGGGGAGCACGACTCGTTGCACCACTTCCCTGGAGAGAACTGTCTTGCCACTACCTGCCGTGCGGGAGAGAAGTGATGGTGCGAAGGTGGCGCAGAACGGGCTCTGAGGTGGCTAGTTTAGGGTTTAGGGTTTAGGGTTTAGTGTTTAGGCTTTAGGGTTTAGGGTTTAGGGTTTAGGGTATCTACGGAACCCAAGGCCTACTTTGTTGTAGGTTGCCGACGAATCCCACTATAACAAGTGATGCTGTTTAGGATTTCCCCCACGTCTCTTCTGCCTTTTGTTCGGCATGCCCGGCCTGCGTTGCCGGCGATGAGTACTCGCGACATTTGGCCCTCGGAAAAAAGTCCGTGCTTGGGTTTTCAAAGACTGGCGGTTCGGAGCTTCAGAGTTTAGGATTTAAGTTTGCCGTAGCAGACAACATGTGAACGTCTTCCTTTGCATGGGCGTGAATTCAAAATTGTTTGACAACACACTCACAAGCACACAACCAATGCAAGACATCCACATCCCAAGACCCCGAAGAAAAAAATCACGACATCCAAGCCTGAAATGCCAAAGCCCACAGTCGCCTGCATGCACTTCTCCACCAGGGAGAAGGCGGTGCATTCCTGGAGGGGGAAATGTCTGCATCTGAGCTCGCGTTCGTGTAACCCATGGGACTCTACTGCCATGTGTACCACAAATGTTGTGGTCTGCAGTCCCTTCGGTTCTATACGCAAAATGGCACCTAACACCAAGGACCTAAGGACCTGGACGATAGAGATGCCCCGACTTCAGCTTCACCCCCTCGCCCCCCACGGCAACCTTCCCCAGTGGGAAGAAGCCCTAAACCCTAAACCCTAAGCCCTAAACCCTAAACGGCTGGATGACATATTTCTGTGGACCTTGTTGGCTTCTGGGCAGGCCATGATCTCCCCTTTTTCAATAGGATCTGGACACGTAGAAGGGACCCATAACCATACTCCCGTATATACAACCTCCCCTCTATAACCCCCATATATACCTTACAGACTCCTATATACCGAAATAGGCCCTACATGACAGGGTGGGGCCCCCTTACTATACTAACTGTAGTTAAGGGACTTATAACCTAACTTAGGGTCCTTATAACCCAATTTAGGGCCCTTATAACTCTACTTATAACTAGGGGGCCCCACCTTGTATATACCGAAATAGGCCCTACATTACCCCTTAGGTCCCTCCTGAGGGCCTACTCCTTTAGTCCCTTGGCAGCACCGGCATCGTCACCCAAACCTCATTGGAGTCCTCCCTCTCTTGGACAGGGCCTCTGCAGGGCCCAGCCCTGCCATGGCCCTGCGGGTTCTGAGGGTTTAGGGTTTAGGGTTCTGAGGGTGTAGGGTTCTGTAGTTTGAAGGTTTAGGGTTTAGGGTTTAGGGTTTAGGGTTTAGGGTTTAGGGTTTAGGGCTACCAGGTTATGGGTTGGGGTTTCTTTGGGTCTTGGGCGGAGCAATCATCCCGACATGGCCCTCACCCCCGCCGGACCCTGTCCTTGCCCGAGAATTCCTCTCGAAGATCCAGATCTTGAACAGAAATCTCCATTCCTGGCCGCTTGGGGTAGTGCAGGAGGGGGTTCAGGGCGAGGATCCTGCCCCCCCCCCCCCCCCCCCCCCCCCCCCCGAAACTTCACACCTTGCCCACGATGGCATGCCAAAAAACTCCCCGAACTTCCCGAAGCCTCCAAACCTGCAAGGGTGTAGTGTTTAGTGTTTGGGGCGTGCCCTACAAAACCCCAAAACACCCTCAACCCTAAACCCTAAACCCTAAACCCTAAACCCTAAACCCCAACTCGGCCTGTCAAGGCATCCCTAGAGATGGCCAGGCTTGAGTGGAAGGAGAGCATGTCCAGCACCTGCTAGGGTTTAGGGTTTAGGGTTTAGGGTTTAGGGTTTAGGGTTTAGGGTTTAGGGTTTAGGGTTTAGGGTTTAGGGTTTAGGGTTTAGGGTTTAGGGTTTAGGGTTTAGGGCTTTTCGGACGCCTTCTGATGTGGGACTACTCTTGAAAATATCTCATTCTTCTTATCGCCGCTATTGTCTAATGGCAGCGGTAGCAGTAGGAGTATTTGCCTTAGTGACCCCCGGACGCGGACGCGGACGCCGACGTACCGGACACACCTCTGACGCGTGTCCGGACGCACCCTGCGGACGCACTCGCCCCCTAACAAGTCAGTGCAGATTGAGAAGTGCCAACCACCCTCTTCCTCTTGTAGCGCTGGGGGGAGAGGGGGGGGCGGGATGCGAAACTGAAGATTCTGGCTTCAGGGCGAAGGTTGCAAGAATGCCGCTTTAAAACTTTCGCGATGCGAACGTTCCAACATGGGCAACTTGCAAGGGTCTCGGTTTCAGGGTGCAGTGTGCAGGGTTTGGGGGGTCATAAGGGTCTGTCTGACAGCAAACCTCCCCCCCACCCCCCCCCCCCCCCCCCCCCAAATCAGTTCAGGTTGAGATGTACCGAAACGGTTGCAAGAATGCGGTTTTAGACCTTTCGCGATGCGAACGTTCCCAAAAAAGTAAGAAGCACATGTGACGATGCTATCCAGTAACACTTTCTAACATGCAGACAAGAAAGGTCCGACAACGACAAGTTTGGAAAAGCACGAGGTGGATTCGAGCCGGTGCCAGGAAGAGCAATTTTCCAGCAAAAATCTGAATTGGATGCTGGGGAGGCATTGAAGGTGTGGCCTCGCGACAAGATTGGGCTTGTGACCCGAGGCCCCGGGCTCGAGTCCCGGAGGTGTTTTTGCAGGGGAAGGGGGGTGGGGAGGTTTGCTGTCAGACCCTTGTGAAACCCAAAACCCTGCACACTGCACCCTGAAACCGCGACCCTTGCAAGATGCTCATGTTGGAACGTTCGCATCGCGAAAATTCTATAATGACATTCTTGCAACCATCACCCTCAAGTCAGAAGCTTCAGGTTCGCATCCCGCCCCCCATCCCCCAGCTAAGACAGGGTGGTCGGCACTGCTCAACCTGAACTGATTTCGGGGAGGGGGGGGGGGGGGGGGGGAGAGGTTTGCTGTCAGACCCTTGTGAAACCACAAACCCTGCACACTGCACCCTGACGTCGAGACCCTTGCCCAAGACAATGGCAACGTTCGCATCACGAAAGTTCTAACATGAAATTCTTGCAACCATGTCGGTACATGGTTGGTTTGCTGTCAGACCCTGGTGCAACCCCAAACCCTGCACACTGTTCCCTGAGACCGAGACCCTTGCAAGATGCCCTTTGTGAAACGTTCGCATCGCAAAAGTTCAAAAATCGCATTCTTGCAACCATCGCGCTCTCTTGGGGTTCGCATCATGCCCCCCCCCCCCCCCCCCGCCCCCCTTCTCCCCCCAGCATCAAAAAGGGTGGTCGGTACATGTCCAGAAATGGGGGGGGGGGGAAGAGGGGGGGGGGGGAGGGGGGAAGGGGGGGGGGAAGGGGGGGGGGGGGGGGGGGGGAAGGGGGGGGAAGGGGAAGGGGGGGAGGGGGGGGAGGGAAGGGGGGGGACAAGGGGGGGGAAGGGGGGGGGAAAGGGGGGGAAGGGGGGGAAGGGGGGGAAGGGGGGGGGGAAGGGGGGGGGGAAGGGGGGGGGAAGGGGGGGGGAAGGAGGGCGGAAGAGGGGGGTGGGGAAGGGGGGGGGGGGCGGAAGGGGGGGGGGGGGGACCCTTGCAAGATGCCCATTCTTGAAATGTTCCGAGAAATCTGAAATCTCATTCTTGCAACTGTCGCCCTCAAGCCACCCCCCCCCACCCCCCCACACTGCTTTGAACCCAAAACCCTTGCAAGATGGCCATTTTGGAACGTTTGCATCGCAAAAGTTCTAAAATCGCATTCTTGCAACCTCGCCCTAACTCCTCGACGCGCCCTGCGGACGCAGGTGTGTCCGGACGCGCGGATGCGACGCATGTCCGGGGGTCTCTCAGGTATTTGCGACCGTGCAATTTGTGAGGGCCGCTCTTTTCCCACGTTTACTTGTGATTGCAGATGTTCTACCTCAAACCTCCCGAATGAGCCTGTGCCGATACTGAAGATTCGTTGTGGACCCGGATGAGAAATCCAAGAATGTAAAAGGCCTTCAGAGGCAAATTCCTTGACCTCGATACCGTAGCCCAGAATCCCGAACCCATCATGGGCATCACGACTATCCAAGGCACCAGGTCCCGTGGCGTAAGCCCCGATGTACCCCAACACCCCAGACCCTGAACCCGAACCCTAAAACCCTGAAACCCTAAAACTTACAATTCTTCAGACGCCTGCAGACGAAGCTTGGCAAACACCGCCAAGAATCCACCTCGAGGTGAGGGGGAGACAGTCTCAAAGGGTTTAGGGTTTAGGGTTTAGGGTTTAGGGTTTAGGGTAACTTAGGGTAGTTGCATGCTCCGGGGATCCCAGAAAGGGCTTGGTAACCATTCGGGTCCCAATTTTTGGGATTCCTTGCATAAGGGGTACCGGTTGCTCAAATACAGAAGGCACCTGTGAAGGGAACCCTGACGATACAACAACCCCCGCCCAAAAAAACAAACAAAACAAATAAGTAAATACAAAAATGAAGAATAACAATAACAATATTCATAGTAGTAATAAAAAAGTAACAATAAACTTACTAGACCCGAAGCTCCCAAGCCCCAAACTCCTCAACCCTTCGAACCTCCTGAGCTTGTCTAAGCTCCTAAGCCCCCCCCCCCCCCCAAAAAAAAAAAAAAAAAAAAAAAAAATAATAATAATAATGCCTGTTCAAGTGGGCCATAAAACCTGTGAACTTCCTGCAGCGAAGCCTGAAAGTCGGTCTTGTCGAGGGTTGAGGGCTTAGGGTTTGGGGTCGAGGGTTTGCGGTGCTTGAGGGTTTAGGGTTTAGGGTTTAGGGTTTAGGGTTTAGGGTTTAGGGTGCTATGACTTGGGGCTTGCCCTGAACCTTCTCTTGGCCAGTGATGCCCTCTGTCCCGGAAGCCAAAGCGCGAAAATCCTGCATCCTTACAGCCATCAAGTCTAAGCCAGGTTGGCGCGGTTTAGGGTTTAGGGTTTAGGGTTTAGGGTTTAGGGTTTAGGGCCTCCTCCGAGACCCAATAAGGCCAAACATCTCCCAAATCCTTCAGTACCCAGTAAAGAAACTCTGCACTACATGTCAACCACGAAAGCCCTCCAGCAAGAGTCCTTCCTTGAGTCCCTTGATCCCAGGTTCGGACCTGGAGCCTCTCTGATGGCCTTCTCAATCATCAGCTTGTCCTCAGAACCCAAGGAGCCCAGACATGTGTCCCTTCAGTCAGGGTTTAGGGTTTAGGGTTTAGGGTTTAGGGTTTAGGGTTTAGGGTTTAGGGTTTAGGGTTTAGGGTTTAGGGTTTAGGGTTTAGGGTTTAGGGTTTAGGGTTTAGGGTTTAGGGTTTAAGTTTTAGGGTTTAGGGTTTAGGGTTTAGGGTTTAGGGTTTAGGGTTTAGGGTTTAGGGTTTAGGGTTTTGGGTTTAGGGTTTTGGGTTTAGGGTGGGTACTTAGAAGTAAGGCTAGAAGTAGCCCTTCATTCAGGGCTTACTGAACCTAAGTCAGCGTTTAGGGCTTGCGGTTTAGGCGCTTCCCGCTTGAGGGTTTAGGTTTGGGCTTCAGGGTTTCGTGTTCAGGGCCCGGTAGGGGGCCGCCCAGGTTTCCTGCGGAGCAACATCTGGGGAAATCTTGGACCCTAGGCCCTAGACCCGAAACCCTAAACCCTAAACCCGAAACCCTAAACCCCTAAACCCCTAAACCCCTAGACCCTAGACCCTAGACCCCCAGACCCTAGACCCTAGACCCTAGACCCTAGACCCTAGACCCTAGACCCTAGACCCTAGACCCTAGACCCTAAACCCTAAACCCTAAACCCTAAACCCTAAACCCTAAACCCTAAACCCTAAACCCTAAACCCTAAACCCTAAACCCTACCATCCACGCCGCCCTTCTTCAGCACAGCGTCTCCCAGCTCGGAGCAGCCTCGTGGCGGTTCTTTGCTACCGGTTCTTGGCAACTACAGGGTGGGGCCCCCTTACTATACTCACTGTAGTTAAGGGGCTTATAACCTAACTTAGGGTCCTTATAACCCAATTTAGGGCCCTTATAACTCTACTTATAACTAGGGGGCCCCACCCTGTAGGTACCTTATCACGATATCCTCCTAGATCAGGAGTCTGGGAAGTAGGTACCTTATAAAAACTATATTACCCTCCTAGATAGCCCGGGCTCATTTTGGTTTTTCTTTCCGCGGCGCCAGCTGGAGTTTTGGATCTCATGGTTCGCAAGCCTGTCCATGAACCGTCCAACCCCGAGCCCCCAGCCAAAATCCACCCCCAAGAGCCCGAAAACCTGCAGCCCTGTCTCTAAACCCCAAACCCCTCAATCCTAAACCCAAACCCTTATATATAGTTCTATATATATATATATGTAAATAATTTAAATAATTTAAATGCTTTCGGGCCTCCAGAAGTCCTCTAGGGAGGTCCGGAATTTTCAAAGAATTTCGGGCCTCCAATGTTTAAATTATTTAAATTCCGGACCTCCCCCAGAGGCCTCCCCAGGATTTAAATTATTTTAATTGTTTAAGTTCTTTAAATTATTTAAATCATTAAGATTCCACCGAATTTAAATAATTTAGATCATTTGAATAATTTCGGGCCTCCAATATTTAAATTATTTTAACTCGGGTGGATTTTAAATAATTTAAATAAGTTAAATGATCTAAATAATTTCGGGCCTCCAGAAGTCCTCTAGGGAGGTCCGGAATTTGAATAATTTAATTAATTTCCGGCCTCCAATATTTAAATTACTTAAATTATTTAAATTCCGGACCTCCCCCAGAGGCCTCCCCAGGATTTAAGGTACTTAAATTATGTAAATTATTCAAATCATTTAAATTATTTAAATTTCCCTTTCCCAGAGGGATGCGGCTGAAATAAGGTGTATATATATATATGTGTGTATATATATATATATACATTTAGGGGATATATAGGGGATAGGTCCCTCCTCTTCCCTTCCATTGTTGCGCCCGGGATGCTCGTGCTCGCCAAGTCGATCTGGGAGACCAGGGCCTTGGTAGCCCATTGACCATCTCATAAGGGTTTAGGGTTTAGGGTCTAGGGTCTTAGGTCTTAGGGTTTAGGGTTTAGGGTTTAGGGTTTAGGGTTTAGGGTTCAGGGTTTAGGATAATAAGGCCAAGAAGCCCGGAGGCGCTCCGCCAAGGAGGAGGTGCTGGTGCGGGTCAGCTTGCCCTCGCAGGAGTACCTTCAACTTGGGGCTTTTTGGGGTTTAGGGTTTAGGGTTTAGGGTTTAGGGTTTAGGCCCTTTGTGGTGTGAAGGGTGTGTAGGGCGTGAAGAAGAGTGTGTAGCGATTTGGAGTGCTGTGCGTTTGAGGAGTTTGAGGGTTGAGGAGTTTGGGTTTCAGGGTTTGGGGATCAAGGGGTTCAGGAGTTGAGTGTTCGGGCTTTCCTGAACTTGAACTGTCACCCCAAACCCTCATCTGAAGGGCCCCTCCAGCCCTGAAGGAGCCTTAAGGCCTGAGGGCACAAAAACACTGCACCCAAGGTTCAACGCAAACCGCCCCCAAAACCCTCAAATCAACCCAAAGACTCCAACGCCTGAACCCTGTTCGCACCATGAGCCCTAACCCATTTGGGCGTTTACGAAAAGCAGCGGACCCTTAGAATAGACCCCCGAAGAGTAGGATTCCCTTCTCATAAGTCGTAAGGACCCCTAGAAGGTAGCCCTATTTGCGGAAGCGCCCCATTTCAAAAGAAAGCCAGGAGACAGAGTGAAGGGCAGCTTGAGATTGTGGCACCGCCATGTCTCAAAAATGCACCATATTCGCCTGAGCATGAAAAAGATGCAGCGATGTCAGCCCAAAAACCCTGAACAGAACTCCCTGAAACCTGAACCCGAAGCCCTAAGACCCCTAAACCTGTAGCGTCAATGCCTTCGCTTCGATGAGCCAGAGCCCCGCAGCGACAGCAAAAACATCGGGGGTGTGAGGCTTGCACCAAAGCGTGGAGGGGCCTCGGCCCTTACAGTAGGGGTACCCCTAAACCCTAAACCCTAAACCCTAAACCCTAAACCCTATACCCCTTAACATGCCCTAAGTAGTAGAAACCTGACGATAGGAACCCCACAAAGGGTACCCTTGGAGGTTCAGGGTTACTTAGAAGTATGGCTGTAGTCTTACTTAGGGAACTTATCACCCTACCTATAAGCACCCATGACTACTATGTCCTGAAGAACCCCAAAAGAATACTTTAAAAAAATATTCCCTATACTAACCTCAAGAACGAATTCTATTTTTCATGTTTCCGGGGTCCTTGAGCAATTGGTAGATGATCCTCCAAGTATAGCTGCCTATATGCTGTGCTTGAGGTTTTGTCTTTGGCGCCGAGCAGCGTGAGTGTGGTGCAGTTCTCGTCAAACCTCGGGGCTTTAATGAGGGATCATGACATTTAATGAGGGTTTAATTCGGTTTAATTAGGGATAATTAGGGTCTAGTTAAGGATATAATGTTTAATTAGGGATAATGAGGGTTGTTAGGGTTTCGGGGTTTGGGGTTTAGGGTTTTTCAGGGTTTTGGGTTTAGGAATTATTGAGGTTTAGGGTTTTGGTCGCATGTAGACAAGTTCGAGGTTGACGTGTCCGGTTTGGGATAAATGAGGAGCAGGGTTTAGGGTTTAGGTTTAGGGTTTTGGGATTAGGGTTTCGTATAGGGTTTAGGGTTTAGGGCTTAGGGTTTAGGGCCTAGGGTTTAGGGTGTAGGGTTCAGGGCTTTCTTTTGCCAGGGGGTTTTACGGTTGAGGGTTTAAGGCTTAAAAGTTTAAAAAGGCAAAAACTAAGAAGGTAATTCCACGTGCTCGCGCACCACGTAAGTAACTGGATGTAACTGGTGAAGAGGGGTTTCGTGGAGACAGGCAGCCCCTAGGCTGACCCTCCACCCCTGCCTCCCTAAACCCTAAGCCCCAAGCCCTGAGCCCTAAGCCCTACGCCCTGAACCCTAAACCCCCTAAACCCTAAACCCTAAAGCCTAAATACCCTACACCCTAAAAGCCCCTAAGCACTGCCGAACGCTGGGCTCTTCGCAACATCACGGCTCCGAACATCGCTTCCTGCTTTTGTCTGTAGCCTTGGGCTGCGTTTTGGGTTACTTAGGGGTTTAGGGTTTAGGGGTTTAAGGTTTAGGAAAATAAGGGCACCCAATTTGGGTTGCTTACTTGAACCGCAAAAAAGGGAAAAGGGCACCACTGGGCTACCTAGGTTAAGGGTGCGAGGAGCGTTAAAGCTTCACAGTTTGTGGGGAGTTCGGGTTTCGGCCTTAGGGTATAGGGTTCCGGGTTCAAAGTGCTTAGGGTTCAGGTTCAGAGTTTTTCCCCACCTTCGGTGTGGGGTTGTCAGATTTTAAACTCAACTCTTCTCCTCGCCCGGAACTCTTCTCGACGCCCGGAACTCTTCTCTTCGCTCGGTCTGCTCCGAGAGACTCCCTGGAGTGCCCAACCCCAGCGACTCCCTGCATTCAACCCGGGGACTTTCTGGGGTGCCCAATTTGGAGACTAGAGTGCCCAAGCCAAGACTCGTCTCCCCGGAGTGCAGAACCCCAGGGAGTGCCCAACCCAGAGTCTCCCTGGAGTGCCCAACCCCAAAGACTTTCTGGAGTGTTCAACCTTGGAGTGCCCAACTCCAGCGTCTCCCTGGATTGCCCAACCCCAGACACTCTCTGGAGTGCCCAACCCTAGTTAGTTAGTTAGTTAGTTAGTTAGTTAGTTAGTTAGTTAGAGCCCAACCCCGTTTAGAGGCGTGCCCAACCTCAGAGTCTCCTTGAGTGCCCAATGCAGAGACTCCTGGAGTGCCCAACCTCAGAGTCTCCTTGGAGTGCCTCCCTGGAGTGCCCACCCCCAGAGACTCCCTGAAATGCCCAACCCCAATCCAAATCCCTAAGGTGGGGATGTTCGAAGTAACATAATTTCGGGTTAAGTACCTTCGGATGGAGGTTAGGGTTTCTGGTTTAGGGTTTAGGGTTCCAGAGAGCGGTTCAAGGGGCTCAGGGGGGGTTCAAGGGCTTCAAGGGCTTCAGCTTCAAGGGGTTTTGGGTCAACAAAGGCAGGTGCGCCTCAGCAGGGCCGCGGGCAACGGGCCGTGCGACATGCAGAAAGCCCACTTTCAACAAAGCAAGCAAAGCCCTAGAAACGCTACTAACCAAGCCTACAAACCCCACTGAAACCGCACAAAACCCTACAAAAACCTACTAACACCCCATCGGAACCTTCATTAAACCCTATCAAACCTGACAAAAACCCTGGCAGCCGGCCTTCACCCAAAGAGAAGGGCTGCGCCCTGGCGGCTTGGGCCCGGACATTGGGCCACGTGCTCCAATGCCCGGTTGAAGGGGGAGACGGTCCAGTCGGACCCCAGATCCTGGTTTTTAGGGTTTAGGGTGTAGGGTTCAGGGTTTAGGGCTTACTCTTGTTCCGACGTTTGGGGAGTTTAGTGGAGGTTGCAATTATAGAGTCGAGTGGTTTTGAGTTTAGGGACTATGGGATTTCGGGCTTTGTGTGTTCAGGCTTCAGGTTGTTTGGGGCTTTCTGTGGCTTATAGAGCGAGGGCCGTAAACCCTAAACCCCAAACCCGGTTTTGGGGTTAGGATTTCTCGGGTTTCGACCCGAAATGTAGCAGTTCAGCTTTTTACGCGAGTGTTGAGAAGTTCTGCGACACGAAGCAGATCAACATGTACCGAAAAGTGGCGAGAGACCCTTGCAACTCAAACCGAATCCAAACCCGATCACGAAAGAAGATCTCGGGCGCCAGCCACGCAGTGCTGGGAGTTCGAGAACCTCCGCTGTGAAAACAGTGCAAACATCCGCATGAAAACAGCTGCAACAGTAAAAGAAACTGTAGTACGCACTACCACTGAAAGGTGCTGTTGGGTGTTGCTCTGGATCCTCAGCAGTGTATGCGTCACGCCAAGCCACGTGCAAATGTAGTAGCACATCTCTCCTGCAAACAGCTTATGTGGACCGGCCTACCCGAAAAACAACGACTCAATCACAGACCCTGTGCGATAAGCCCTGAACTCACTACTCCCAGACGGGCCCGTGCACATTGTTGTGCTGGATGACATGGTGTTGTGAAAACCTAGCTCGGGCTCTGTGGGCGGATCTGCTTCATGTGAGCTTTGTCAGGAGATCTGCACTTTGCCATGCTCATGAACGCACTCCTGCCTGACTATGGTACAAGCACGGCCCTCGCAAAAGTACACAGCCATCGTCGCGGTTGAGTCTCGGAGACTGCTTTCGCTAGGGTCCCGTGCTGGGGCTCGTGAAACATCGGCTTAGGCATCGACTTTTCGTGCTCCCATCAGGGTTTGACGAAGTGTACTTGGGGGTTCAAGGTACTTTTTTCCCCAATTATGACTGCACCTATAAGCCCCCCACCTCCCCTAAATAGGATTATAAGTAGACGTATGATTGGGGATATAAGTACCCATGAACCTCCAAGTAGGGGTAGTAAACTTTGGACTCTGGACCTGGGGTCATGCGCCACGTGCAGTCCCGTGTGTATGTTCCTCGTGCTCTTTTTGGCTCAGGGACATGTGTAGCAATGGAGGGTTCCAGGAGTACGCGAACGTCATGAAGTTGTCTAGCAGAACATGTAGTACTGTTCTCTATGGCCCTGTGACTTAGTTCATTCAAACCTCTTTGATTGCAGACCATATGTACAGGCGAGGCAAAAGCCGACAGGAACGAAGCAGAATGACCTTGCCCAGGTCTTGACCCTTGAATTCGGGGTTCATTGGCAATTACCGTGAAAGTAGAGTTTTGGGTTGGATGGCAAGAACCACATTCAGGGTGCCTATGACCCTTCAAGTAGCGAAATGCGCAGGACTTTGAACCCTCCATGTTTAAACCCATGATGCCCATGTGGATTTTGCCAGCACGCCTAAACCCTAAACCCTAAACCCTACACCCAAAACCCTAAACCCTGCAGCAAAGCAGAGTCTACACTTGTAGTGGTTCTTACTGAGCAATAGGGATCCCTAAAATGGCTCTATTCGGGAATCTTGTAGGGAGTCACTCCGGCAGTTTTTCCTTCGGCAAAGAACCAGAAATTAAGAACCCTAAGCCCCTACGCCCTGATCCCAAGACTGCCTAAACCCTAACTAACCCTAACTAACCCTGAATAACCCTAAACAACCCTAAACAACCCTATAAACCCTAAACCCTAAACCCTAAACTCTAAAACCCCCGGAGTCCTGGATCTTCAGGGTAGGCGCTTTCTGCGTGTTTGCCTGAACTCAAGGGGCTACTTGGAGGTTCATGGGTGCTTATAACCCCTAGGTGGTTTAGGGTTTAGGGTTTAGGGTTTAGGGTTGAGGGTTGAGGGTCCGCTGACCCTGGCGGCGTGTTGGACCCACACCGCATAAACTCACGGACCATAGGCGGTTTCGCTACCCCCCCCCCCCCCCCCCCTACCCCCCCCCCCACCCTCCCCCCCCCCGCCCCTACCCCCCCCCCCCCCCCTACCCACCCCCCCTCTCGCTTCTTGGGCTTGAATTGATGGGGCTGGCCCTCCTTCAAGCTGGCTTCAGCTCCTGTTTGGGTCCTGGTGCTACCCCCCCCCCCCCCCCCCCCCCCCCAACGTTTCACAGAGGCATCCTTTGAGCTGACGAGCGCGTTAAAACCTTTCAACTATGCTCCAGCGGGGTCGGCGGCTTGAGCCGGAGGCTCTTAAATTGAGGGTTTAGGGTTTAGGGTTTAGGGGGTTCATATGGGTGCTTCTAACCCCAATTCTAAGTCTACTTCTAACTTACTTGGAGGACTTAGGGGACTTAGGGGGCTTATCAGTACGGTTATCATGGGAAGCCCTGAACCCCAAACCCTGAACCCTGAACCTCCAAGTATCGGAGGTTGAGCAATGAAGGCGGTGGGTGCAATCGGCCGGTAGCTTTTCTTAGGCTTGCAGGGCCTTAAAGCCTAAACTAAAAGCCCTCAACTCATGAACCTCCAAGCCCCCTGCAACTTCAAGCCTAAACCCTAAACCCTAAACCCTAAACCCTAAACCCTAAACCCTAAACCCTAAACCCTAAACCCTAAACCCGATAAGCCGCAAGTTCTAAACCCGAAGAAGCCCAGCCTTGCAGAAACGAGGAAGGTGGAAAGGCTGAAACATGGGTGTAGGGTTTAGCGTTTAGGGTTTAGGGTTTAGGGTTTAGGGTTCAGGGTACGAGGCACCCAAGGAACGAGGCAACATAACTCAAGCTAAAGAATCCTTAGCCCTAGAAGCAGCCGCATGGGTTCAGGGTTTAGGGTTTAGGGTTTAGGGTTTAGGGTTTAGGGTTTAGGGTTTCGGGTTTCGGGTGGAAAGGGCTGCCAAACAGAGGGAAACGTCCAAGACAATGCCGAGGTTCGTAAGGACGCAGCAAACTGCAGCGTCTCCTCCCAAGCAATGCTTTGCAATTCTCAACGCGAAGCGCAAACCAGAAGTCTTACCCCTGGCAAATGTACACAGCAGGAGCTCGAGAACCTCAGAAAAGCGAGCCCTTTTCGGGATGCATGATGTAGGACTCCAGGCTGGGGGCCGAAAACTTAGGACAAAACTTGGCAATTCGGGCAATGAAGCGAGAAGACTCTACACGCTGGTTGAGAGACATGCTGTATTGCGTGCACACAAGCATGTTTCTCGCTCAGGGGACACTGAACCTAAGAGACCCACAGTCGCACAGTAAATCAAGACCTAGCCGACCAATGAGACTAATGCCTGCACTCAGCCATGAAGCATAAAAGAGCTTTGGAACCCGCGCGCTCATATGGGGGTTTACGATCATTAGGGACCCCTAACATAAACCCCCAGTAGGATCCCCTCATCATAAGGACCCAAATAAGGTACCCCCAATATGGTAAATCCCCATATCTGACTCCTAAACCCTAAACCCTAAACCCTAAACCCGAAACCCTAAACCCTAAACAAGAATCGGTTCTACACCACTCAGATGGGAGCGCGCCGGTCCTCACCCCACCAGTGAGAAACGAAGCTGCACAGAGGTGCGAATTTGCCTCGGATGCTCAGTTTCGTCGGCCCCTAAAGCCTGACTACTTAGGGTTTAGGGTTTAGGGTTTAGGGTTTAGGGTTGAGACTTTGGGGGGAACATCCTTTAGTGTGCATCCTAGGGTTGAGTGGAAATAACACTACCATCCAAGGCCTCGAACTTAAGTCTCTGGCACGAGACTTCCTAAAAAGCTCTGAGGGTTCAGGGTTAAGGGTTAAGGGTTGAGGGTTAAGGGTTCAGGGTCAAGGGTTTAGGGAGCACTAAACCCCAAAACCTTAGAAGGGAACTAGGGAAAGTTGGGCAGAGGAACCAAACGGGCCCCACCCCGAACCCCCCCCCCCCCCCCCCCCCCCGAAAGCCAATGCTGAACTCAAAGCCCTGTGGCCCAAATCCTAAACCTGAAAATTGACACCCCAAAATCCTAAACAGTAAACCTCAACCCAAACGCCCAAATTCTGAACCCCGAGCCCTAAACCCTAGCACCCTAACACCCTATACACCCTAAACCCCTATAAAGACCCTACACCCCCACAAACCCTAACACCATAAGCATCATCGCCAAATGCGAGGCTGCGACCCTGGTCAAGAAGATCAACATAAGCGACCTCGGCGGGTGGCTGTTGTTGGGAGGGGGGGGGGGGGGACTTGGGGGGGTGTACCTTACATCTCCGTACTTGGAGGTTCATGGTACTTATTAACCAATGCGAACTGTACTTGTAACCCACTCAGAAGCCCCTGAAGTGCCATAATATGGTGATAAGTACAGTTATGAACCCCTCCAAGAACATCAGGTAGGGCCTTCTTTGCTAGCATCCCCCCAAAGAAATTCTCACCAAGAACCGGAACCTAAACCCTGCGGCCCTAAACCCTAAACGCTAAACCCTAAATCCTAAACCCTAAGCCCTAATCCCTAAATCTATCAAACTTGGTACTAAACCCTACGTGATGCATGCCCGAGCCAGGAACCACAAGGGTTTGTGTAGCAAGGGCGTGTAGGGTTTAGGCTTCAAGGGGGCTTGGAGCTAGGGAATCTTCGGGCTTAGGGTTAAGGGAGTAGGGTTGATGATATACTACTCGAGCTTGAGGGCACCCTAAACCCTAAACCCTAAACCCTGAACCCTGAACCCTAAACCCCTAAACCCCTAAACCCTAACCCCTACTCTAACCCCTAAACCCTAAACCCTAACCCGTAAACCCTAAACCCTAAACCAAACCGCCAAAGGAACAATTCGGCAGCTGACCGGCCGACCGACCCTGCACCCCCTAAACATTCTGAAACGCCTCTCGGCCCCAAACTGCAAAGCCCGAACCCCTAACACCCTGAAGACCTAAGCCCTAAAAACCCTAAAAACCCCTATAAACTCCAAGCAACCTGTAACCCCTAAACCTTAAACCCCAAAAAAACCCTAAAAACACTGTAACCCCTAAACCCTAAACCCTCAAACCCTAAAAACCCTACAACCCCAAAACCCTAAAACCCATAAAACCCTGAACACCTACACTAAAGCCCTAAACGCTAAACCCCCAGAAACAAAGCTCCGAAGCAAAGCACCGCCACATCCTAAACCCTAAACCCCAAAACCCCAAAACGCAAAAAACCCTAAACCCTAAAACCCTAAACCCCAAAACCCTAAACCCTAATGTTGGACTGACTTTAGTATAAGGGGGGGTCTATAATCACAAGTTTCGAAAATTCATTCAGCGAACCGAGTTTGTTTGGGGTACCGTCTATTATCACAATTTTTTTCGCGGACGTTTTTTTTGTTTTTGAGGGTTTGTGTTTTGGGTTAAGGGCTTACGCAGTAAGGCTTGAGGCCCTGAGGGTCTTGGGCTCCAGGAATTCTGAAGAGCCAGAGCGCGGAGAATCCAGAAATCGAAGCCCGGCGCCAGTTCCATGTAAATCCTTATGGAAATTCATTACGAAATGAACGAGGCCCAAACAAGTTTTGTGATAGGTTGCCCACGGCGCGGTCAGGCTGTCTTTAGTCAGTTTGTCTGGCTACCCTCAAAAAACACCAAGCTTTTTTCGGATGATGTGTTTTTAAGGGTTTGTGTTTAGGGTTAAGAGCTTACGCAGTAAGGCTTGAGGCCCTGAGGGCCTTGGGGGGCTGCAGGAATCTTGAAGGCTGGAAAGCGACAGGCCTTGGGCGCCCCCCCCCCCCCCCCCCCCCCTTTTTTTGGGGGCGCGCCGTGCCATGCGTTTATAGAGGGCCCAAAGTTGTTTGGCGGGGGGGGGGGGGGGGGGGGGGCATACCAGAGACAGTGCAACATTAAACACTAAACCCTAAACCCTAAATCCTAAACCCCTAAACCGTTAAACCCTAAACCCTAAAACCCTAAAACCCTAAAACCCTAAAACCCTAAAACCCTCAAACCCTCAAACCCTCAAACCCTCAAACCCTCAAACCCTAAAACCCTAAAACCCGAAAACCCTAAAACCCTAAAACCCTAAAACCCTCAAACCCTAAACCCGAAAACCCTAAAACCCTAAAACCCTAAAACCCTAACACCCTAAAACCCGAAAACCCTAAACCCTTAAACCCCTAAACCCCTAAACCCTAAACGCCTAAACCCTAAACCCTAAACCCTAAATCGCCGGCACATCGAGTCTGAGAGGCGCCCTGGCGGAGAACTAGGACTGTGTCGGGCGTCAGCTTCCGCACATCGGCCTGAAGGTGTGAGGGTGGGAGCTTAGGGTTTAGGGTTTAGGGTTTTAGGGTTTTAGGGTTTTAGGGTTTTAGGGTTTAGGGTTTTAGGGTTTTAGGGTTTTAGGGTTTTAGGGTTTAGGGTTTAGGGTTTTAGGGTTTTAGGGTTTAGGGTTTAGGGCTTGGGGCTTAGGGTTTAGGGCGTTAGGGTTTTAGGAGTTAGGGTTTAGGGTTTAGGGTTTGGGGTTTGGGGTTTAGGGTTTACGGTTTAAGGGTTTATAGGGTTTTAGGGTTTTAGCGTTTTAGGGTTTTAGGGTTTAGGGTTTAGGGTTTAGGGTTTTAGGGTTTTAGGGTTTAGGGTTTAGGGTTTAGGGTTTTAGGGTTTTAGGGTTTTAGGGTTTTAGGGTTTTAGGGTTTTAGGGTTTTAGGGTTTTTGGAGGTTTTAGGGTTTTGGGTTTAAGGGTTTAGGATTTAAGGTTTCTTGATCGAAATTCTGGGCCTCGCGATATTCGGTATAGCCACGTATACACCTCCTCACGTCTATCTATTCACTATTTCATACCGGTTTAGTTTCGATTTCTCGGGCGTCAAGGCTCAAGGTGTAGAGTGTAGAGCAGGCTTAATTAAGTGAGGGTTTAGGGTTTAGGGTTTGGGGTTTAGGGTTTAGGGTTTAGGACTTGCAACACCACAGGTGGAACCTACGCGCAGGCCCTAACCCCTAAACCCTAAACCCTAAACCCTAAACCCTAAACCCTAAACCCTAAACCCTAAACCCTAAACCCTAAACCCTACCCAAAAGGGACCCCAACTTCCCAGGATCCTCAGCCAGTACAAGCTCCCTGACCTCAAGCACTGACCGGGGTTTAGGGTTTAGGGTTTAGGGTTTAGGGTTTAGGGTTTAGGGTTTAGGGTTTAGGGTTTACGAAGAGAGGGGGCCCCAAATAGAAATTCCCCAAATAGTAGGATGCCCTTATATTAAGACGCTAAAGTCCTAAACACTAAAACCCTATAAACCCTAGAAACCCCAGAAACCCTAGACACCTTTTAAGCCCTAAAAGCCCTAAAAACCCTATACACCCTAGAAACCCTATAAACCCTAAAAATCCTAGAAACCCTAGAAACCCTATAAACCCTGAAAATCCTAGAAACCCTAGAAACCCTAAACCCTAAACCCAAAACCCTAAACCCTAAACCCTAAACCCTGGAATGAGCGCCTCGGTGCGCTTCAAGCGCGTCTCGCCCAAGTCTGCGCACCCTGCCAGAGCCGCCGGGATGTCCTTCCAGGGCTCCCCATGTGGTAGGGTTTGGGGTTTAGGGTTTAGGGTTTAGGGCTTAGGGCTTAGGGTTTAGGGTTTAGGGTTTAGGGTTTAGGGTTTAGGGTTTAGGGTTTGGGGTTTAGGGTATGGTGAGTTTAGGGTTTAGGGTTCGGGGTATGGTGAGTTTAGGGTTTAGGGTTCAGGGTATGGGGTCTCCAGTTTAGGTTTCCATTCCAAATTGGGCGCATCACATCTAGGGTGCGACATGACATTACGAAACCTTAAGGAGGTGAGGGATTTCAGGATTTGGGGTTTGGGGTGCCCAAGCTAAACCCTAAACCCTAAAACTCTAAACCTAAACCCTAATCCATTTTTGTAGGTTTTAAAGGTCTTCGGCTTGAGAGTCTTGGGGTTTGGGGTGTCCAAACTTCAACTGCCTAAGGAGTGGTGAGCAGGTACAGTACATCCGAAGGTTTGCGCTTTGCTGTCTCAACTGTTTTCAGCACCCCTGGAAAAACTGGCTTCTTGCGATCCCGTACATATATTGCCTACTGAACTAAGAAAATCTGGCGGTCGAGGTCGAGGTTTAGGCTAATTACTCTTCTGTGGGCCAAAATGTGCAGGATTATGCAGAGAGTTCGGTTTAAGCTTCATATGAACTTCAAAATTGAAGTCAATTTCCGCACAACACCCGTCAAGACACCCTACCCTGAACCCTGAACCCTAAACCCTAAACCCTAAACCTTAAACCCTAAACCCTAAACCCTACACCCTGTACCCTAAACACTAATTAAACCCTTGACCCTAAACCCTGCACCCTGAACCCTAAACCCTGAACCCCAAACCCTAAACCCTGAACCCTAAACCCTAAACCCAAAACCCTAAACCCTAAACCTTCTCAGCTGCCACTCCGCACCTGTATCGTGTCGTCCCTGTCATGCTTCTCCTTCGTCGTCATCCACTGCTTGGTGCGCTCCTCTTTTGGGGGGTTCCCCTCAACCCTAACTGTCGGGTCCTTAAGGGAGGGTGGTTCAACCCTAAACCCTAAACCCTAAACCCTAAACCCTAAACCCTAAACCCCAAACCCTAAACCCTAAGCGGGGTTTAGGGTTTAGGGTTTGGGGTTTAGGTTCAAGGGTGTTGAGGCTCCCTAAGCTTTCCTAGGTACCTACCCCCGATGAAGCCCCTCCCTGAAGAACCTTAATTATAACCTACGCCTCGCACCTCCGAAGGACAACTATAGGCAAGGGACCCCAACATGTTCAAGTCCGCAGCCACAAAACAACTCTTCTTCTTTGTTCTTGCGTTCTTGTTGGATGGGGTGGGGGCGGGGGGGGGGGGGGGGGCGAGGGTGGGGGGGGGGGGGGGGGGGCGAGGGTGGGGGGGGGGGGTGTTGGGGGGGGTCTCGGGTTAAGGGTTTAAGGTTGAGGGTTTAAGGGGTGGGAGGGGGGGGGAGGGGGAGACCAGTAGCTGGGTTGGCCCTTGAAGCCCTGCTGGAAAAAACGTCTTAGACGAGTTTCGCCGGGGACTTAAAATGTTGACCCCTAACTACGATTGCTTAAGAGCCCCCCCAAAAAAAAAACTAAAAAAAAAAAGTATTCATTACCTGCATTTTGGGGGGGTTCTTAAGCAAAGAGCAGCTAGCCACAAACACGCATCCTGAGAGACAGATGCAGGGTTAGCTTCATGCACTGGTGGCACCTGACCTTTCGGGACTTGGCGAACGCTGAGTGTTGATTCTCACGACCGTTAAAGGGGCGCAGGCAGTAGCATTCCTCAACGTGTTCAGGGTTTAGGGTTTAGGGTTTAGGGTTTAGGATTTAGGGTTTAGGGTTTAGGGGTTCATAAACCACTTTGAAATTTTGCACTGGCAGCTTAAGCTCTTCGAGGGTCGAGGGTGAAGGAGGATGAAAGAGAAAGCCGACGAGGATAATCCAAAGCTGCGTTTTAGCCGCCTCCTTATCGAGGATGCAACGTCCGCAACCTAAAACAACCTAAACCCTAACACCCAAATCGTCAATGCAAACTGCTAAGTTTAAAAAAACTTTTGCACGGGTTGGGTCCTGACCATCGCGCCAGTAGTCTCTGCGCACCTTGCCCCCGGCGCCTGAGCTGTGGGCACTATGGTTTATGGATTGAACGTTTGGAGTGCAACTTGAAACTGTAATCAAGATGACAATCCTGACGATGACTGGATGATCCCTCTGGGCCACATGACTTGCAAATGGATGCGGATCGTCTCCGCTTGCAACAGACATCCTGCTAGATAAGCACATGCCGCTTGTGGGACAGGCTTAAGGGTCATCAACCTTTGCTGCGACCAATTACTAGGATGCTCAGTAACCCAGGATGAAAAAAGGCTGCCCTTTTTTGCTTAAAGGGGTTCATAAGGGAGCCTAAACCCCCAAGAGGGAATAAGGGCACTACTGGGCATCCTAGATTATCGCCTCGGATGAAGCGTGGGCATCCCACGCTCGCCACACCGTGCCAGTCCCTGCATCAGCAAGGCCCCAGCGGATGAGTCGACCTACTTCTCCCAGCTGTTGCGAACTATCCATGGCGTTCCAAGAAGTCACGAGGCCTGACTTTGGGTCGAAAATCAAGCCCTGCAACTCTACGTTGAACTCATCGATGTCTTCAATCTTGCTGAGTATAAGCTCTTTGTCCTTGTCACAGGATGCACTCATGTCGCGAACATCCAGGCCTTCCAACGTCCGAGCTCGCTGCTGCATGGTAGCCTTTGACAAGAGCTGCAAGGACTGAGTCATCTCCAAGCGTTTGGCTTCCGCTATTTCGGCCATGCACCAGGCACGATGAAACAAGTCAAGGGACTTGTCCACTGCGATGACTTGCCTACATGTTCCTGTGGTTGCGAGATGGTACATCATATCATCGAATTTGTTGATCTCTGAACTTGTACTTCGACCATCAGGGTCTGAGATGTTGACGCTGCTGCAAGAGCAAACGGGATGCAGCTTCCCAGTCAGTGGATCTCGGTCATAAGGGTTGCAGTGACATATGCTGGCGTGCTGGTTAACTGCAAAGGCACAGATCCAATATGTGGCATCCAAGCGACCGCTCTGACCCAGAAGCTTCTCAATGAAAGCCACATCGTCTTGAAGCAGCTGCGCCACCATCTTGAAACTGCACTCCTGCAGGGCATCCGAGACGACAGCAGCAAGCAGGTCATTGAAGCTGTTGCCCCAGTTGTGTGTCACCATGATCTCTGCCCTCTGAGCACCATCGCAATTCAACGACGAGGCTGCATAGGAAGATTCTTCTTTGCAGGTCAGAGGAATGATGACCCTTCGAACCACGTCCCGAGTCTTGTGTGCGTGAGGCACATACGTCCACTCTGACTCTGGCATGAAGGAGAGCTCCTCACAGAAACGCACCAAGCTTCGCAAAGTCATGCCCCGCGTGGAAAGCTCCTCCACTTTTGCTTTCCAATCGACACTCCAGGCCGCTTCTTTCCTTGGCACTGCTTTACCATGCCTGCCGCAGCACCTGACGCGTTGACTCTCACGAGCGGAGTGAGCCGGGGAGATCACCTTCGAAAACCGGTGGCTTCCAGACAGGAGGAGCACGGCGATGGCATTGCCGAGGCAATCTGCCGCTTGAACAAAGACACAGACTGCCGCGAGTTCAGGTGCCTTATATACCATGTGGAGGTAGGCAACCGGAACTACAGCAACAGTCAGAATCAAGCTAAAGGAGACACCAAGCACCTGTAGAGCAGCGAGCCTCCGTGCACGCGTCAAGCTTGATTTGACATCAAGTGGGATGCCTTGCAACTTGGCTAGGCGCAACACCTTGCCCAGGTGCAACAAGGAGCGTGCAATGGAGCAAACTGCGACGATGCTCCCGACCAAGTTGCACAAAAAGTAGAAAGAAGTCAATGCAAAACTGGTAGCGAGAAAGCCAGAATCCTGTGGCAAAGAAAATGACTCGCTCCTGGCTATGGCAGTGCCACATATGAGACCAGCTGCCAAAGCACTGAATGCCTGAACCCAGATCAGCTTCCTCACAAATGAGCCGCAGTACTTCTGATTTGAGGATCGCTCGAGAAGATCGAGACGCGATGCGATGAGCACCTGCATCCAAAGAGAGGCCCAAGCGTAGAGGACCCCCCTGCACACTGCAAAGAAAGCATGAGCATTCCCATCATCCGCTCCAAAGCTATATCTGACGCAGTTGGCAGGGTCTTTAAGGAACAGGCTGTTGGAAGCCAGAATGGATTGAAACCAGTTGATGATGGCATAGCCACAGGCTGATCTGACATGTGCCGAAGCATCAGCCCTCCTCACCAGGAAGGCTGCAATCAAACCACAACCCAGACTTGCCAACTGCAGCACGGGGAAGTACAGCTTCATTTGCCGGAGGTCGTTGAGTTCGACGGGAAGGTTGGTACCCTCCAGGGATTCCGAGCGAAACATGCACTCCGGGAACTTTAGAGGAAACAGCAGGATGGTGGCCGTGACATTCACCACAAGCACTGCCGAGTACCTTCCCGGGCGCCATTGGCAAAGCCTCGGGGGCACTGCTACAGAGTCCGAGCTGGTCGACTCGGACATGGCAAGCAAACGGCTCGAGCCGGATTCCCACGGAGATGTCTTTGTGTGCGTTCTTTAAACCCTAAACCCTAAACCCTGAACCCTAAACCCTGAACCCTAAACCCTAAACCCTAAACCCTAAACCCTACCTGTCAAGCTCCGGAAGTTGCATGAGACAATGCGATCTTGCTAGTGCTCTAACGGCCCGGCCAGGCTCTGTGAGAGCTCCAGATCTCCTGGCCTTTGCCCTGCCAAAGCTCTAAGGTTTAGGGTTTAGGAGTTTAGGGTTTAGGGTTCGTTGTTCAAGGGTCCGAGCCGCATCTAGGGTCCTGACACAGAGGGGAACCAATCAAAACCTTGCACCCCCTGCACGGAACCACAACTTCAAGCGCACAAGCGTTTAAACAGCTCGTTTCAGGGGTTTGGACGGGACATGTGCGACGTTTGCGGAAGCCTGGACCCCCTCCCCTCACAATAAGGACCCCAACAAGGTACCCAAAACCCTAGACCCTAGACCCTAAACCCTAAACCCCAAACCCTAAACCTCCATATGGGGCTTATGACAGCTGACTGTAGGATTTTTGTGGCGTTCCATATGCAGCCCAGGATGCAGAGCATGCCCTGGATGGTAAAACCTTCCTTGGGCCGCTTAGGGTTTAGGGTTTAGGGTTTAGGGTTTAGGGCTTAGGGTTTAGGGTTTAGGGTTAGGGTTTAGGGTTTAGGGTTCAGGGCTTAGGACTTAGGGTTTGGGAGTTAGGGTTTAGGGACTGTAGCCAAAGAGTACCTGGCAACAAGAAGGGTGCCCTTTTTGGCTTAAAGGGGCTTAAACGGGAAGCTTCACCCCCCCCCCCCCCCCCCCCCCCCAAAAAAAATGAATAAAGGCCTACTCTGGATCCTAGGTTGTGTTATCCTTGGGGGGTATCAAAAAAGAAAGAAGGGATGAAGATTTAACGAAAGGACCCCGCATGTCTGGGTTTGGACTTCCGGTCGCGGAGGTAGGGGGATGTAGGGCCTGGGGGGATTTAAGGTTTTTATCGGGTTCTTAAGGGAGGGGGGTTCAAGAGGGGGGGGGGGGGGTATGTAACCCAAGGTCCCCCTAAACCCTAAACCCAGCAACCCTGCAGGGTTCAAGGGGCCCCTACTTCCTTTAGGTTTAGGGTTTAGGGTTTAGGGTTTAGGGTTTAGGGTTTAGGGTTTAGGGTTTAGGGCTTAGGGCTTAGGGCTTAGGGCTTAGGGTTTAGGGTTTAGGGTTTAGGGTTTAGGGTTTAGGGTGCCTTTCAGCGAGCTGCGACGTCGTGGCCGCCCAGTTGAATGCCCTCGCGGCACTGGAGAGACCCCTCTTCGAAGATCTCCTCCTCCGCCTTCAGGGAGGGCCCCCGAGCCTTTTTTTTAGGGGGTTTAGGGTTTAGGGTTTAGGGTTTAGGGTTTAGGGTTTAGGGTTTAGGGTTTAGGGTTTAGGGTTTAGGGTTTAGGGTCCAAAGTTGGGAGCTTTTGGTATTCGGGTTTTGTGGGGGAGGGGGGGGGGGGGTGGATTTGAGGCGCTGCAGATTCTTTCAAGCTGCTCTCCTTGAGAGAGGGTTATCAGCTTTGATGGCCCCTAGAATCCCTAGAACCCTCTGAAAGATACTCCCGAATTAGATCTCCAGAAATCAATAAGGTAAAAAAAATCCCAAGGACCTACCTGGAATCCAAGCTCAGAACCCGAAACCTTGCGTAGGGGTACTTGGACTGGAAGTGGCCTTGGAAGGCATGGTTGCCAAACCCTTGGACACTTGTAGCGGTGGTGGATGCCCACAGTGGCTGTGGAAGGTATATACCCTAAACCCTAATACCCTATACCCTAAACCCTAAACCCTAAACCCTAAACCCTACATAAACCTCAAACCCCTGAAAAGGTACCAACCACGAGTGGTATACCCTAAACCCTAAACCCTAAACCCTCAACCAAAACCCTAAACCCTAAACCCTGGCGGTTGTTCTTTCTTTCTGTCGTTGTGCCGCCCTGAAGAAAGAGAACCAGGTGGCAGATCCAAATTCTGATCCCTTCGAAGGGGGGTAGCCAAGCCCCTGAATAGGGTTTAGGGTTTAGGGTTTAGGGTTTAGGGTGTAGGGTTTAGGGTTTAGGGTTTAGGGTTAGGGTTTAGGGTTTAGGGTTTAGGGATTAGGGTTTAGGGTTTAGGGTTAGGGTTTCGGGTTTAGGGTTTAGGGAACGCGATACACCCCAGACACCCTGTAACCCAATTTTCGAGAGAACTTGTTTCCCTCTAAGGCTCGAAACCGCAGACGCCCGGAACCGAAACCCTAGACCCCTAACCCAAAAGCTTGAACAACCTTGAGCCCTAAACCCTAAACCCTATACCCCTAAACCCTAAACCCTAAACCCTAAACCCTAAACCCTAAACAACTCAACACTTAAATCCCTAAACCCTAAAACCCCAAAAACCTGAAACACTAAAACCTTTAAACACTAAAGCCGTAAACCCCTAAAACCCTAAACCCTAAACCCTAAAAACCAAAAACCCTAAAACCCTGAAACCCTAAAACGCTAAAACCCAAAAACTCTAAAACCCTAAAACGCTAAAACCCTAAAACACTGAAGCCCTAAACCCCTAACACCCTGAAACCCTAAACCCTAAAACCCTAACCCAACAACCTAAAACCCTAAAACCAAACCTAAACCCTGAAACCCTAAAACACTAATGCCCTAAACCCAAAACCCTAAAACACAAAACCCAAAAACCCAAAAACCCTGAACCTTAAACTCCGAAAACCCTGAACCCCGCAAGCTCTAAACCCCCAAAACCCGAAACCCTAAACCCTAAAACCCTAAAACCCTAAAACCCAAAACCCCAAAACCCTAAACCCTAAAACCCTAAACCCTAAACCCGAAACACTAAACCCTAAAACCCTACACCCCAAAAACCCTAAAACCCAACAACCCTAAACCCTAAACCCCTAAATGCTGAAACCCAAAAAGCCCAAAACCCTGGAACTCCTAAAACCGCAAACCCTAAACCCCGAAACTCTAAACTCCTAAAACCCTAAACCCTAAACTCCTAAAACCCTTAACCGAGACCTTCCGGGCCTGGCCGATGCGGTGGCAGTCCGCCCCGGTCAGGGTGACGATGACCTCGCGGCCTCGGTTTTCCCCAAGCAAAGGAGGGAAGTACACACAGGGTTTAGGGTTTAGGGTTTAGGGTTTAGGCTGTAGGGTTTAGGGTTTAGGGTTTGGGGTTTGGGGTTTCGGGTTTAGGGACTGAGAATTAAGGCTTCGAGTTTGGGGCATCAGGGGCAGCAGGGTCTAGGGAATTGGGCTTTATGGTGGTGGGGCTCCAAGGGTGGCTTTGGCTTAAGACTTTTAGGGTTTAGGGTTTAGGGTTTAGGGTTTAGGGTTTTAGGGTTTTAGGGTTTTAGGGTTTTAGGGTTTTGGGGTTTTAGGGTTTTAGGGTTTAGGGTTTAAGGCTTTATATTCTTGTAAAAAACTGTGGTGTCTGTCTCTGTGCGTCCGAGCTCTCACTCCCAGATGTGCTGCAGACAGACACCGCTGATTCCATGAAGCCCACACTTAGCGAACCCGGAATGCATCTGCCCAAACCCCAAAAAATCAAGAACCCAAAGCCTAAAGCCTAAAGCCTAAAGCCTAAAGCCTAAAGCCTAAAGCCTAAACCCTAAACCCTAAACCCTGAACCCTACTGCACCCAAGAAGAAAGCCGGAGCCATCTGTTTTCACGGATGCTTGAGAAGAAGCTCTGAAAGCTCCGAGCCCTGAGCCATACACTGCCCCTGACCTGACATCGAGGAACGCTTTCAGTCTGAGAGCACCTAAGCCCCAAAGCCTTAGACCTAAACTTTAAACCTTGAAGTTTAGGGTTTAGGGTTTAGGGTGTAGGGTTTAGGGTTTTTACTCTACGTCTTTGCAACCCAGGCAACTTCGAGCACGCAACCCTACCTGCAGACAGCCCTGACCTCAAGGCCCCAAACGTTCCCTTGTGAGAACCTTCAACCCTCAACTCCACACCCCAAAGCCCTGAATCCCTACAACCCTACAGCCCCAAAATCTCGAAACCCCTAAAACACACTAGTGTAACCCCCTAAAACCCCAAAATCCTGAAACCCCTAAACCACTAATTTAAGACCTAAACCGCTTAAACCCCCTAAACCCTAAACCCTAAACCCTAAACCCTAAACCCTGAAATTTCGGAAGTCCTAAGGCAAGGCGAGTTGCTGGTCGTCTTGACCTCGGCCCGACCCCCTCAGGCCGCACCGCGCCCGAAGAATCCCAGAGCACTGCGGGGTTTAGGGTTTAGGGTTTAGGGTTCAGGGTTTAGGGTTTAGGTGTCAATTAGGGCTTGGGGTTTAGGCATTCGTTCGGGTTTGGGGCCTAGGCTTACACCCAGAAACTCGATTTAATCAACAGGTCTGCTGTGCTTAGGGAGGCTGAGGACTGTGGGTTTAGGGTTTCAGGGTTTCAGGGTCTTGCGCCTCTTCTTCACGGCCTGGGGCCGGGGGGGGTGGGGGTGGTGGGGCTCAGAATGTCAATGACATGGGCCGGGTCTGACCTGATCCGTGATGTCAGGTGGTATCTTATGCAAGCGTTCCAGAGGGAGAACCTGTGCGCAGGCGTGCGTCATGGTCATCATCTCAACTCCCAACTCCAAGTGTCCACTACCTTGCAGCTAGGCCCTTCAGAGTGGCCACCCGAAACCCTAAACCCTAAACCCTAAACCCTAAACCCCAAACCCCAAACCCTAAGCCCTAAACCCTAAACCCTAAACCCTAAACCCTAAACCGCTTTATGTTTGCGAATGCAGATGTCGGTCCATGGTTAAGACTATAGTAGCAGCTATAACTCCCCCTTAGTAGCTACGAACAATGGTATCGTTGAATGCTCCCTTGGGTTATACACACAAACCTATCTTAGGTTGCCCTAGGTCTTAACTTGTAAGACAGAAACTAGTCTACGTACTCACTAAGTTCCGTAAGCACCTGCCCTCATCGAAGCAAGGGGTGCCGGGCTCCCGCACGATGACCACCTCGGGGCAGACGTCGTACATGTTTCGCCGGCCCTTCCCTCGTGCAGCTGGCTGCTGCAAGAACTCCCACTTCTCCTGCGAAAGAACCGAGCTCAGATCCTTAAAACCCCGAAAATCTAGGATTTCTACCTTGGACCCTTAAGGTTGCACCCTTGGGTTTTGGGGCTCCCTTTTGGTTTTTCTCAAGGACTGACTCAAGGAATATAAGGGCCATATTAGGAGTATATTATGGGGAACCGTTAAGGATACAACCCTAGGGGGTACAAGTCTGAATGCCTTGAGAAACCCCAAAACTTAAAGCCCATGTACATCCGGATCCCCCTTAAACTACCAGTCCTCAATAGGGATTCTCGTACCCCCTGTCATAATCCCTACTAAGGACTGTCAATCCCAAGCCGTAAGCTGTGAGTCCACCATACTCCCCTCCCCCTCACATTAAGCCCCCTCCCCCCCACTCCTACCCCCCAATATTGAATACTCCCATTCTGGTTTTTCGAGTGTATGCGGGGTCTTCAATATTCGGGGGTAGGGGAAGGTTGATGATCGGGGGCAAGGGATTAGCCCACCCTTCACAAACGACTCGGGACTCAAGATCCCTGAACTCTTGAATTGAACTCTGACGTGGATTTGGCTCAGGATGAAAAACCGCGCGCTCCCTCTCTTGGGCTTAGGGTTTAGGGTTTAGCGTTTAGGGTTTATAGGGTTTAGGATTTAAGGTTTCGGGTTTTAGGGTTTGGGGTTTGGGATTGAGGGTTCCCCCCAGCCCCTGGTGCCTCCACCAACAACTCCAGATCTTTCAAGCGCATGCCCTTGACCTCTGGAGCCTCCGCCAGGCTCCGGTCTTTCTGTTGAGGGACACGCTTCAGAAACCCTAAACCCTAAACCCTAAACCCTAAACCCTAAACCCTAAACCCTAAACCCTAAACCCTAAACCCTACAATATTGAGGGTGCGCTTGGGTTTGGGTTTAGCGTCCGAAGGCCTTACAAAACGTGCATCTTGAGGTTGTCGGGGTGTGGTGGTATGTATCGCGATGGCATGGCTTTGTGCAGCATGTATCAAGATCCTCCTAGGCTCAAGACAGAAGATTGCAAAACTCGTGAATTCTTACTTGTAGCAGAAACTTAACCAGCAAACCCCAAACTCCAAACCTATAACCCCCCCCTTCCCCCCAAAAAAAGGAAAACCCTGGGCTCTGGGCCCTGAACCCTAAACCCTAAACGCTAAACCCTAAACCCTAAACCCCCTCAAATGTACCAACCACCGGGGCGGGGGCGGGGGAGGCCTCCACCAGCAGAGCCGGGGGAGCTGGAGCGGCTTGCTCGAGCGGCAGAGCTCCTGATGTTTAGGGTTTAGGGTTTAGGGTTTAGGGTTTAGGGTTTTGCCACCGCATGTAAGAAGAGACCGGAAGTTTTTGGGGTTTAGGGTCTGGGATTTGGGGTGGATGCGTTTAGGAACTTTGTTATGGTTTAGGGCTTAGGGGTTTAAGGTTTGGGGGGTGTAGGCAGGGCCCAGTCGTCGCAACTCAAGCAGTTTCTCTGGGGGTTTGGCCTGTTCCGTCGAAGCCTCTTCTCCCTCAAGCATCGCAACCAAAATCCCTAGACTTCTCACCCTAAACCCTCAACCCGCAGAATCTCCTGCCGCAGGCTCAGGAGGTTTGGGCGCAGCCCGGGATGGTTCACCGGAAGCAGCGTCGGGGAACACGGGCGCCGCAGGCCGCCAGGGTTGCGGGGGCGGGGGCGGGGGCGGCGGAGGCTGTGGGATCCACACCTGCAGCTGAGCTTCGGGTCCTAAGGGCTCTTAGGGTGTAGGGTTTAGGGCCTAATTAGGGTTATTAGGGTCATTAGGGTTATTGGGGTTTAGGAGCAGAGAAAGACCCAAAGACCCCCTGTTTCGTCGGCGGCGACGCCTCTGTGGCGCTTGAAGCCGTCGATGGCTTTGCCATCTCCTGCAAAAGCTGGCAAGCAAAAATCCAAAACCACAGAACCATGTAGAATTTATCTTCTTTTCAAGTGGTGTAACTCGCAAAGTGCATTCGGGTATACAAGAAATGCCAGCTTACCAGAAAGGAAAATCTATGCTATTTGGGACAGGAATATACGAAAGGCTAGAACTATCAAAGCACATGACGAAACACAGTGTTGCAAACATTAACACAGAGACTGTTGCAAACATTAACTACACAGCAATGGAAACCTTACTACTGCTTTTCATTTGTTGATTGCATTCGGCATAGCAAACAGATCTTGTGAAGCACGAGCGAGGTACCACATATGAAACGCAACTTGTGTAAACAGAAAGATTATGGGCAGAACCAAAAAACAGCACGACTACGACACAATAGAACCTAGCAAAGCACAAAGGAAGGAATACCGAGGAAAATCGAAGGAACACAAACATGAGGTGGATAAGAAGTATAGAGAAACACAAGGTAACCATTGCAATGAAATTGCAACTACTCCGTACCAAGGGACTGTGTAACTACCCTAAGATTCTAGGGCTTGGGGCTGTAGGGCTTAGAGGGATGTTTAGGGTTAACCTGAAATGGTTTGGCGAGTTTCTGGTGCACGTAAACACCCGAACGCCTCCCCATCCCAGAGGTTTAGGGTTTAGGGTTTAGGGTTTAGGGTTTAGGGTTTAGGGTTGAGGGTTTAGGGTTACTATGGATGCATTACTTCCTTTTGGGGTTGAGGTTGTCCTTTGCCACTGGAGGTAGCGCGGGTGGAGCAGGAACCTGTCACATGGAAAGGGGTCGAGTGTGTACTTGGCGGTTCATGGGTACTTATAACCCCAATTATAAGTCTACTTACGTGAAAGTAATGGACATCAGTGAGAAGATGTGGAGAGCGACTCAATACATTGATGGAGGGGCGAAACAGGTATGAATGGCACCGAAATTGCTTAGAAACCTCGATCAGCCACTTATAACTACTTAGAGGACTTAGGGGACTTCGGGGCTTATAAGTTATAATTGGGGTTATAAGTACCCTGCACCTCCAAGTAGGTCGAGAAGGAGCTCTTCCAATCCCCGTAAAATCCTCCTGGGAACTACTCGATCCTGAATCCAAAACCCTCAAACCACGGTGGTCTGCTGGGGTTCACCAAGAAAACGCGAGCAGTTTGCAACTGGGTCGAGGTCCCTCTTGGCAAGTCAACTCCCAAAGAGCACAAAGCGTGGTCTGTTCCCAGGTTCCCGAAGCCCCAAGTTGCCAGGGTTGCGGGGCCCTCTCAATTCCCTCATTATTATCATTATTATAATATAATAAACATAATTCTTCTTATCCTCAACCCTAGCAACCTACATGCTAAGCCCTCTTAACCCCCCAACACCGAAAACCCGAACACCTACCGGCCGATGGGGGCACGGCGGCATGCAACAACATGGCCGACTGCCTGCGGAGCTGCTTGAGGCAAGGGCATCTTCGCTGCTGGTACCTGGGTTGATTCTTGGAGATTAGGGTTCGGGGGGTTTTGGGGTTTACAGGGGGTTCAGGGTTCAGGGTTATGCAGGTTTAAGGGCTTAGAGGGGCTTCGGGGGGTTTAAGGGCTTCGGGGGTGTGTGCGGTTTAGGGGCTAAGGCTTAAAAGGGCTTCGGCTGCTGTAGGCCCAGATTGAGGGTTTGGGTTCACAGCGCTTAGGTTGGTGCGGCATGTTTAGGGCTTAGGGCTTAGGGCTTATAGGGTTTAGGGTTTAGGGTTTAGGGTTTAGGGTTTAGGGTTTAGGGTTTAGGGTTTAGGGTTTAGGGTTTAGGGTTTAGGGTTGAGGGTTTCCCCAACACGCCCTGAACCCTGAGGCCTTCGGCAGCGCAGGAGATGCCATTTCGCTGTCCTAGCCGTCGCAGTTTAGAGTGTAGGATTCATCCTAGGGCATGGGGTTTAGGGTGGCGGGCCACCTGATACTAACAGTCCTTTAGTAGGGCAATAAGGGGATACTACAATCCCTATTCAGGAGCTGTTCGTCTAAAGGGGAACATCCCAACCCTGTAAACCCTAAACCCGAAACCCAAAATCCTACACCCCCAAAGTCCTTGAACCCCCTGAGGTCATGGAGTCGGCAGAGGGTTCCGCGGTCAAGGTTTAGGGTTTAGGGTTTAGGGCTTAGGGCTTAGGGCTTAGGGCTTAGGGTTTAGGGTTTAGGGTTTAGGGTTTAGGGTTTAGGGTTTAGGGTTTAGGGTTTAGGGTTAGGGGTCAGGAGTCCTCCGCTGCTGCGGCCCCCGCTTGGCATGCAGGCTCAGCGACCTCCTGTCTCAGGGCGTCTGGTATAGGGACGAGTTGGTATAGGGTAGAAATCTCGCGTTATGGGTATAGGGTATAGGGTATAGGGTATAGGGTATAGGGTATAGGGTATAGGGTTTAGGGTTTAGGGTTTAGGGTTTAGGGTCTCCTATAGGTTAAGGGTAGAGGGTACGAGGACAAAGGCTGAGGACTGAAAGCCTATGTGTGCATCCTTCAACACACAAATCCCCCCCTCCCCCCCACCCACCTCACACCCCTTGAGGGGTATAAGGAGGGACCCCTAGGAGGGACGCCCTTAAGAGGGAGGCCTAATCATGTTCCCCCCCCCCTGACACACTGTAACCCTTAAATTGACCTTCTATCGTCCCTCTATACCTAAGTCGCCCCTAAGTAACCCCCCCAATAAAACCTTGAGGTCCCTTATAAGGGTCCCTCACTTGGCCCCTTGAGCCCCACCACGCCCTGAACACTAAGCCCTAAACCCTAAACCCCTCGCCAGACGCCTTCGGAGGTGCAAAAGCTGCAGCGGTCGCTCCATCTGTGCACTCCTCGCACAACTTACCCAGAGAGCCAAAATGCCCCTTCCTTAGGCGCTTAAACTACATAAGATCATCTGGGCGTTTCCGAAACTAGGGTACCTTATTGGGTCCTTACTATAAGGGAATCCGACTCTTTGGGGACTATATTTGGGGTTTCTTATGTTCGGAAACCCCCATCTAAGAAACCATTATGCAGGCAAGAGCCTCACTTGAAGAGCATGGGGGCTCTTTGGGCTGTGCAACGCCTA